TCCTCCAACATGTGATGATTCATGCGATGTAAGGTTAGATTTATTTCAAAATTATTCTATCAACACAGTGCCGCAATTGTAAATATGGCAATAACTCCTCTCTCACATCAACTACTCTGCAGACATGGTTGTCTTTAAGCAGGTTTAATGATGCTTGAAAAGGTGAAACTGTATGCCTATAACAATTACAAAAATACACAGTAAAAAACATAACTACAAGGTTGTAAATCCACACATTGAAGGCAATCCGACGCTATTTTGAGAGCTGTGTGGTGCCCATGTAATTACCATATTACAATACTAGTACTACAAATCATCACAGTGCTGGACTTACAAATGATTATGACTGAAGTTGTTGAACATGGGTAGAAAACACATACCGGCGATGCAACCTCAAAATAAAGAAAACTGCCGACTCAAAAGGCAACTGTGTGCTGTCATGTCTGCTGTTTACAATCATTACCCTAGCTCAATAAAGTTCGGTTCAAAACATGTGCTCTGCTTGCAATTCCAAAAGTGTCCACTAGATGACACCATACACGGGCAAAACTTATAATTCAAAAGCAGGTGAATTATACATTTAAACGCTTTTAAACTACTTTTTATGCATAACAGAACAATCACAGACATTTACATGGACAGTCTGGTGTAATAATAGATTCGTTTCGGGTGTTTTGTGGAGTGGGTAAGACTGTTTTTAGTGGCAGGCTAACTATGGCCATTGACATGCACTAGCCTAGCACCAGCGAACCTCTGCAAATACAAGGACTGGATGGAATATTTTTAAAAAGTGTCTCCACACGTCTCCAACACTCTGGCTCACTAGGAAATGAGGTCCTATGTCCAAAATTCTGAAAAGTCGCTTAAGAATATCTTGAACTTAACTTGTATCAGTAATTCAGTTTATAGAAACGTGCTATATATGTTGCTCAATATGTCTTAAAATGATTTTGTCCACACATTGGTTCTGTTGCTTTTTTATTAAATGTGCACTCCTCTGATGTAATGTATATGTAAAGTGGTTGAACATCAGTAGACACTAGACATAATTAAACAAAATGCACTTTGACACACAAATCAGTCAGTGCACTTATTATTTTTTGTAGTGGTGTCAATATGTAACAAGTGACTTATGTTTTATTCCTGAAAATGGCCCAGATGAGACTGAAAGAGCAATTTTGTGTGAAATGACAGTGTAGAGCAGGAAGGACATTAAATAGCTGGTATCAGGAGCTAATGCACAGAGCCTGGCTTATGTGCTGCAGCTTAGACCACTCCACTACCAGGGAGCACTGGACTGATTTAAATTCACATCTGCTTTCAAATTTGATGTATTTTATGGTGATAGAAATTCTATCAGATCGGATCTTGAGAAAGTAGTCTGTTTTGACGACATAGTTTTATCCCGATTCAGTGCTTTTCTGTTGAATGGCTCAAACACACTTTTTTTCATTCACTCCTCCTGTTGGTCAGTAAGGGTGTGTAAAAATATAGAAATATCGATATATCGTATCATTTAATGTACAATACAGTATCGACATCGTAGACTGCTGTATCGATATACAGTCGTCCCTCACTATAACGCAGTTCACCTTTTGCGGCCTCGCTGTTTCGCAATTTTGCATGCTTTTTTTTTAAAGTGTATGAAGGCACATTGTGTTCCTCCCCCTACATCCTGATTGGCTAAGGGACTGTAGACCATTCAGTCTCCTCCGTGTACAGTACAGAATGTGTTCAGCTTGACAAATTGACATAAATGTTGGATGTCTACCAGTGTGAGTCTGAACTGCTGTATGTTTGCAAGTTTCCTCCCCAACAAAACCCACAATGTCGACAAAACGTTCTGTACCAACAAAGGCTCCTGCGGTCGCACCCAAAAGGCAGAGGAAGATGCTAAACATCGCACAAAAAGTTGGACTTCTAGACATGCTGAAGGAAGGTAGAAGTTACGCGGCTGTAGGGCTCCATTACGGAATAAATGAATCTTTGGTTCATTACATAAAGAAGGAGGAAAATAACATAAGGACAACAGCAGCAATAAGTTTTAAGAAGGATGCAAAAAGGGTTGTAACTGTCCTGTCTGAGAAAAGTGTATAAAGTGTGTGATGATGGGTTTAACAGCCTTAAAACATCTATAATAATTGTAAAAAATAAAGCTGACTACTTCGCGGATTTTGCCTATTGTGGGTTATTTTTAGAACATAACCCCTGCAATAAACGAGGGACCACTGTGTCACCAAGAGTATTTTTTGGTATACTTGACCAAATTATTTTGTTACAGAGCTACAGTTTTGCTGCTTGTTTAGAGAAAGGAAACTTGTGTATGCGACACATTTGACATTTTCACTGTTTTGAGGATTAAAATGTTTCATATGAAATTCATGCAAGAAGTGATTTAACAAACACTTTTAAAATCACCGCCATGATTTAGCCTTTATTTTTATTGAACTGTACGAAATGATTTGAAATATATCATATTGAATCCTATCGAATTGAAAGCCCACTGTATTGAGGTATGTATCGTACCTTGATGATATCCGATTGGTCAGCCTCTTTCATGCCCTGAGTGAGTAAATAACAGTTACTCCTTAATCCAAGATATAAACATACTAACTCCATGAATTATGATCAAATGTAAAAAAAAAAAAAAAAGATATTCTCAGTTGTAAGAAATTGTGTTATGATTTTTATGATTCTTTTTGACATCTCATCTAATCCAAATGATTCTCTCTTTTTCATGTCCAACCCTGGCCTCAGTCTTCTGTTGAACACAAGCCTCTCCTGTCATGTTTCACTCCTCTCACAGAATCAGTGTAAGTGCAGCTCACCGGGGGATTTGTGAGGTCTGCTAACGCCCAAACATCAGAGCCCACCTACCGTGTGCCGAGAGGAGCAGACATGTTAACTTTAAACCACGGACCCCCTCCGCTCCTGTCTCACCAACCCCACTCTCCTTTTGTGTCAAACAAGCTTGTAACAGCATCGTGCCAACCTTGGCCCAATCTTTCACAGTTATTAAGTTGGATTTTGTGTTATTTATTTGATTTATTTATTTTCACTTTTACACTTTGACTTTTTGACGTGTGATAGTCGTCAGTGGGAGAGGGGCTGAAGGATATGGCGCATTAGGATAATAAGTGAGATTCTGGAGAGCACCTCATCAGCAACTCATCAACGCTGCACGATTAAAGCTGTCAGCCTTGACCCCAGTGACCTCCAGGGATTTACAAACTTCAGTGTGAGCCCACAAGTGAAACTAATCACTTCTAAATAGTGAGTGAGCATGGATATTATCTTGAGGCCAGAAGTAATGGCATCAAGTGAGACCTGCATAATGTTATGACTTTGCTTGGAATTTCTGCAGGATGGTGTTAAGTGTATCTGTCTAGCTTACTTTTGTGCAATTGTAGATGTTTGTGTTGCTAAAATAACATGCATGTTTGGGTCTCCACCACAGATCTGACCTGTAGTGTGTTGGTAGAGTCACCTGCTTGTCTTCATGGAAATAGATATATTTTACTAGCCTGATTCATCAGACAGTTTCACTTCGTGGAAACCGTCTGACCTCGCAGCATTGGGATATGTGTGCTCGACGGTAGGGGGTACTTGTTTTATTTAACCAGTCCCTACTATTTGGTCGTAATGTATGTAATGCACCAAATCCCATAGGAAGAAGAGCAATAACGTCTTTCCCCTTGATAAAATTCACCAAACATTTTCTTTGTTCTGGCTTTAAATCCTCAATCTGGGGAATCATTGCCAACACAGAATGTATGTCTTCGTTTACATCCATCTCGACCGCTTTGTTTACTGTTGTGCTGTACCATGAAAGGCACAGGCGCTTGAGTTGACATCATGGCTTCACAGCTCTTCACTGATTGGACAGTGTGTGGTCTAGTACTTCCAGGGTTCTTGCAAACTGTTAAGTGTATTCCGATTCCTGACTTAGTCGCTGGAGAGAAATTAAATTGAGTGGAGGCACTAGGTGGCACCAGCCTGGCTAATATTTTACTGCTAACACATAACATATTTATATCACCATGTTACCTTTTATTATTTAAAAAAAATCCAAACAACGAATTGACATGTTTTTCACTTCACTTTTGTTTTTGACTCTCCCTTCTCTTTGCTCCCTGTGTTAGGTCACTCCCCCACAATCAGCATGCATCCTGCTAATGATTGCACATAACATCAGTTTTATCCAGCTGTTGTGTACAGTTTTCTACCATGCTATATTGTGTGTTATGTATTTATAGAGAATTGTCATACCCAGGAGAGAGCACTAAAATACTCAAACATGTATGGATGACATTTAATACCTCTTCAGGCATATTTTTGTTGAGGGAACAATATTATAACTTGGAAGAAAGCAAAAAAAAAGCTAATCATTTGCATGATTTAAAGCCATACTGTGAAAAGTCTAGACAAAGAAACCTTTATGGGGATTAAGAGATTGTAGATTGTAGAAAGCAGAGTTTATTTTTCAGGTAGGGAAATGCATTTGATCCATTCTTCTTTTAGTGGCAGGTTAACTATGGCCATTGACATGCACTAGCCTAGCACCAGCCACCTCTGCAAATACAAGGACTGGATGGAATATTTAAAAAAGTGTCTCCACACGTCTCCAACACTCTGGCTCACTGGGAAATGAGGCCCTATGTACAAAATTCCAGACTGTCCCTATAAACAAAATAACATAAATACGTTAACATGCTATTTTTGACCAATTATCAGATTATCATGTTCATCATTGCGAGGTAGGTTCACTGCGCTGGTGGTTTATTTTCCAGTGCTTTTCAGAACAGCTGCCCTTAATATATATCATGATTTTGCCTTTTTGTCTATTACAAAATGCTATGTTTGTAACCTTGAAAGTGTAAAATTCTCACCCTAATCTCCAGCCTTAAGAGCTTTTACTGTCAGCTATAATGACTCAGACCTAAGTAGTGTTCTCGATCTGCAGCTCCACTTGTGTTATCCTTCTCTCTGTGTTCCTCCAGGTCCAACTGTTTTGAAGTGTTCGTGTTGGAAGGAGCCTGCACCTATATTCTTCAATTTTGTACTGCAGCGGAGAGCACAGACTGGCTCCAAGCAATATCCACCAATATCAGTGATCTGACACAGGAGAATGTGAGTCCATCCCCACACACTAGGCAAGATCGGATCATTTTTGGAGTTATTATTAAAAATACAGTTTGACCTGAAAACTATCTAAGAAATATTTTGAGATATTTGATCATTATGACAAGTATTTTACATCTAATCATGCAAATGTCAATCCACGCATTCACACCTGTCAAAAAATGACATGAAAAGACCCGGTGAGCAGTAACCTCCAGCAGCAAGCAGCAAGTTCAAAAGAGTTCAGTAAGGAGAGAAAGACTTAGATAAGCTACAGTTATTTTTAGGACTTTTTAGCCCTTGACATTTCTTTCGTTTTTGTAGAATCTACCAATGCGCAAAACAGTAAAATGTTAAAAATGTTTAAAAAAAAAAAGATTTCCAGTGCAAAGTTGCATAACAGAAACCATTGGCGGCCCAGGGGAGTGAAGCAAACTGAGCTAAAGTGTCTAAAAACAGGATTGATTTTTAAAGTGAACTCTTAATGTGGCCAATATCTACTGGAGCTGTTCCAGGACACCAACATGTTCCTGCTGGGCTTCCGTAGGTGTTAAAAGAAAGTGCACAAAGTGTGGAGTTGCAGCCTATAATATTGACAGGATAAGTTGACAAAAGAACAGGGAAAAAACAGAAAAAGGCACATTTTTGTAACTGCTGCTCTAACTTTAGTACTTACCTGCTTGTTTCTATAAAGATATCAATGCTTTGCCTGGAATATTCCACAGTATGGCATGAAATTAATCTATCTTTTATTCAATTATAAGGAGCTCTAATGCTCAAAAATACTTAAATAAATAACATGCATTCCTATTGTGAGTGGGGCCACCTCTCTTTTTGAGCCAAATGAAGTCACCTGTTTCTTTCCATGGAGATAGATTAGTGTAATGCCATACTGAGGAACATTCAATATAAAGCAATAGCAACATCTCCACAGAGAGAATATAGAACTAGATATAAAACACATATAACACACATCATTTCAATCATTTCGTTTCAGTGTACATTATTTAAACATCATTTACCAAACTGGCCGCTTTTCTTTATGTAAACATTAGAGGTGTAATGATATCCAAGGCTCACGATACGATATTGTCACTGTATGAACCTCACCGTTCGATATTTATTACGATATCGTGGAAAAGCTCACAATATGGTGAGGAGGCTCATGATTAGGAATGTAACAATATCCAAATGTCTCAGTACGATATATTTTCACAATATACATCTCACGGTACGGTATTTGTTGCGGTATTTTGTGGAGCCTAAACCACTAAAACTGTGAATATGTTACTTTTTCCTCTTAAAATGCCTTGGACAAGACTTAATCCAAAGAACTAAAACTTTAAATTGCTTAGCACTGTCATTTTTTCTTGTAGTCGACACTGAAATGGAGCAAAGGATCATGGTCTATGTCAGAGGTGGGCAAACTACGGCCCGGGGGCCATATGTGACCCTATTATCTTTTTAATCCGGCCTGCCAAACTTGAATATTAATAATAATAATTTTCAGTGTTTTAAAAGCCATTTTAAAAGAAGTAAATATCTTGGGATTTGAATGATATTTTGTTGTAATGTTTTGTAATGATTTTCAATTATGGGATATTTCAATAACATGGGATATGTTTTCTACATATCCCATGTTATTTTTTTTTTCTCTTATGAAGTGGATTACCAAAAAACTCCATCCATTCCATAAAATTTTAGAACCCTTTGAGTCCCACGAGTCAAAAGTTTTGCCCACCCCTGGTCTTTGTAGTTCCTTCTGTCTTTTTTTAGCTATTGCTGCACCGTAACTCTTCATTTAAGCAAAGAGACTTGTAATTCGATATATTGTGATGATCCACGATATTACTGTGAGAACTTTGACGATACGACATCACGATATTTCGGTTATTGTTACATCCCTAGTAAACATACTAGCAACCAGAAACCATGTACTTACAGAAGAAAGCAACTTGATTGAGCTGTCTGAAAGTATACAAGATAACAAAATAAGCAAGAATGAGTGAAAACAATTATGCAGTCAATGAACGCTCCTCTTGTTGTCTGTTTATTCCTCTCCCTAATGAAGATGAGATTGACTTGTGTACTGACGTGTTTTGCCGACAGTACATGATCCTTTGATAATTGTGAGGCAGCTGACACCGACTGGAGTGTACTGGGCTGACAGCTCTCATCCAGGGCCCCTCCCCCCTCGCCAAAAGAAACCTCTCTCATAGCTAATTAATGACTGCTAAGTAGTCATTCCGCCGCGCTCTGCTCCTCTCTCTCATTTCCTTCCATTTCACTTTGATTAACGCGCTGATGATGTGCATGTTACTGTAAGGCCCGCGCAGCTGCCTTCTTTAAAGCCACTGATTTGTTCGCGTCTGCATCACCTCGTCACGGTGGCGGTGTGATTGCTAAATGGCCAATCAGGAGGTAATTGTGGCGCGGAGGATTTGACGGAGCGCAACTTTTGTTTTAACGACCTACAACCTCCAAATAGACGGCTCTGACACACTCCATGTTAACATATGTGCATGCTATTGTCCGCTATAGGAAGTGCATTGTTGATGAGGTGACTGTGTTGACGCGGGTTACATGAATGCTTTCTATTTATTGCAGATTCAGAGGATTAAAATATGCTGTGTTTTGTGGAACTAATGTACTTTTTTTTTTTCTTTGCATAGATAAAGATAATCAACAAGTTCTGCTCTTCAGACGATCAGGTATGCCTACGTATCCAGAATGCATCTGCATATGTTACTCACCATATGGTAGATGTCTGTGTGGAGGCTGATTACTGTTTTTAAATTTTACTTGTATGACACATTTTACAATTATAAACGTCATGGTAAAACTCACAAATGTGCACTTGAACAAAGGATGTTAGTTTTCCCACAAAGCTATAATTTTTCATAACTTATAACTCTTTCTTGGAGGGAGGGGTGGCGGTGTCTACCACCTGCTCAGTGGTGTTATTGCTTTGCCTCCAATCTTTCCCTGTGTGGTATTAAACTTAACAATCTCCTGAATTTAAGTAGACGATGCCAGGTCAAGTTATAGGTCAAATCTGTAGAGAGGCAACTCACAGGGATGCATATTACTTTGGCAACAAAAACATCTATACTTGAATAAATGCAAGACAGATAAGTTTGATACCACACTGGAGATTTTCAGACAAAACAGAAACATCTCCATGGAGACAGACGTATCGAGGGGTAAGCATTCAAGTTCACATTGTTTGTAGTCATGATAGCTCTTAGATATTGAATATTTCCAGGACCACTTTATCTTCTAAACCAAGGGTCTCCAACCTGTAACTCAGGAGCTACCAGTAGCTCTCCACCCCCTTCCAAGTAGCTCACCAAGAGATTTCTGAATCATATGTACAGTGCTGAAGAACTAAGAATTAAGTGCTTATTATCAATGTAAATACATGCTTTTAACGTCTAACTTTGTGCACTAATAAATGGATAATGGTTTATGTTTCATAAGCATCTAACTGTTCCCATCTAAAGCTTGCTGTGGCTCTTATATTTACTCATTATCTTCCAAACTCTAAAATTTATAGCTCTCTGGCATTTTTGTTTTGTAAAGGTAGCTCACCAGAGGAAAAAGGTTGGAGACTCCTGTTCTAAAATACAATGCAAATGTTTATTTAGAAGCCAAATGAACTTAATACCTTAAAAACGACAGTATTTTAGCTTCAGAATTATTTATTTTTCATGCATATATTTTGTTCTGTTCAATCATTTTGAAATATAATGCACATTATTCTCCGACTAAACAAAGATGCTTTTTCACCAGAACAATCCTTTTTCAAACCACCACTTATTTCCACCTATTATTTTGATTATGCATAAGCACAAATTCTAATAAAACAGTGCCACATTACTGCAGTTTTGCTTTGTGTGAACAAGAAATCACTACTATCTATGAACACCCATTAAACTAAATTATTCCTTCCTGAGTGCCTTTCTCGCACAATTAAAAGTAGTGTTTGTAAAGTGCATGTGACTGATGTAGAAATGGAAAAACCTGTGCTCCATCCCTGTTCAATGAGAGAGACTGAGAGCTCATCTTTGGCAGATCAAAGCACAGCCACTCCACAGTGAGAGAGTCTGCTGGGCCTCCTGATTTATTCATTCACTAAAGCTGCATACCTTCTGTTGAACTGACCACTTTACTGTACTGGAGAGATAGGGGGGCACAAAGGGGGAAAAAGATTAAATTGCGATTTTTCTGACAAGTACTGCGATTGTGAGAAGATTTGTTGTTTGTTAATCAATTTAGACTTTAATTTGAGCTTTGTTTTAACACAATCTGGCCAGAAGGAGCCAATTTAGCTCTAACTACAAGTCTCTCGCACATAAAATTGCAGTCACCAAAGTTCTCACCTTTTCTGTTGAAAATCAAACACCTTTAAAGAACCACGAATGCTCAGATTGGCCACAGTCTCCTGAAAATGTGCTGTTTAAATGTGTTTTTTCTTGAGTTTTCAGATGATCTTAAATCTTTTTTGACAGTTTGCATTGTGTAACCATTGTAACTGCTGAACATTCCACCATAGAAATACATGCAGAACACCCCCAGTGTGATGCAAGACTATTGCAAAGTATCTGTAAAAGACATTCGGTTTTTAAATAATTGCTTTTGCGATTTGATAACTGCTCCAATTGCGAATTCATCTTGAGTGTTACATGTTGTGTAGCTCTAGTTTGTATCATCTTCTTCACGTTGTGTTTAAAGGTGAAAATGTTCTCTTGTGTGTGCAGGTTGTCCACATGGGCTGGGCTTGTGAGAATCCAGAGGGAGGCAGCTCCAGTCGGACAGCGGCGTTCAAGTTCCTGGCACTGCGGGGGCCATACTTTTTTATATTCAGAACTCCACCGGTAGGAGTCATTTGAATTATAATGTGCATTGCTTGATTTGTTGATATCTAGGAAATCTGTCTTCTTACATTTTAATATCGAGATCATTTGAGCATGAGGCTGAGAAATATTGACAAAAATGAATCTCAAAAACAATATTTTAGCAGTCCATCCATAAATACTAAAATATGGCCTTGGTTCAAATATTCTAAGACTTAAAATATTACTTTATTTTCTGATCTATGTTATGTTGTTTCCTCATCAAAAGCATACCCAAAGTTTTGTTTTGTTTCATTCATTTAACACACAAACCCTGCATGTTTAGGCTGAATTCTTGTCTTATATAGAAAACACTTTGTTCCACCTTGTGATGTCATGTGGCAATACAGGAAATCAGAGGTGGGGACTTGCAAGTCATAACTTGGACTCGTTTCAGACTTGGGTCACTATTTTTTAGGACTTGAGACTTTACTTGATAAAATGAAGTAAGACTTGGGACTCAACTCGAACTTGAGGCCTGTGACTTGAGAAGACTTGAGAAACACTTTTAAATCTTAATTCTTTCTATTCTGACTGTAATGATTCACACTAAGATCTTATCAAGACATTAAAAAAAGGAAAAATTAACATTTGTACATCTCTTATATACTCTATAAATACTCATATGAAATATACTATCTCAAAAGTTATGAAAATTGCAAAAATCTAAGCTCTACAGTCCCTGACAAAAGTCTTGTCGCTTATCCATTTTGTAAAAACAAAAGCTTATAACGTGACTTTAAATTAATCGATTGGTTTTAGAAATGTCTCATATGAAGCTAAAACCCTCCCAAATTATGCTCAATATACTTAAAATAAATTTGCTTCACTGAAGAAAGATTGATCATTTAATGAACACAAAAAGGTCAGATTTTGACAAGACAAAAGTTTTGTCGCCTACAGAAAATTGAACAAATAATTTACTTCAAATACAAAAATATGTTGCTTAACATCAGTGAATTAAGTAGTGGTGCTGTGAGATCCATATTTAATATCTTGTATGACTTCCATGAGCTTGAAGGACTGCATCCATGCAGTTCGACAGTGATTCATATAATTTGTTGATGAAGTCATCAGTATGGATCAGCAGTGGATCTGGTCTTCAGCCTCTTGATAATTAAGGCTTTGGTCTCAGGGTGGATCTTAGGCATGTTGTCAGAGGTCAAGTTGCAGTTGATGTGAAGGTCTGGTGTGCTGGGGTTCTTTTTATACACACCCATTAATTGATAGATCAGTAACTGATCACAGGTGAGGCTGTAATCTAGGATTGGGTGCATCATATGACAAGGCGACAAGACTTTTGTCTTGCCAAAATCTGACCTTTCTGTGTTCATTAAATGATCAATCTTTCTTCAGTGAAGCAAATTTATTTTTGTATATTGAGCCTAATTTGGGATGGTTTTGGCTTTCATATGAGACATTTCTTAAACCAATCAATTAATTTAAAGTCAGGTTATAAGCTTTTGTTTCTACAAAATGGATAAGTGACAAGATTTTGTCAGGGACTGTATATGATATTTAAATTTAAAAACTTGAAATGAGTTGAAGCTCAAAGCAGACGACTTGGACTTGACTTTGACTTATGGACCAGTGACTCGAGACTCGACTTGCCTGTATTTGACTTTGGACTTGACTCAGACTTAAGGTCAAAGATTTGAGACTTGAGACTTGCAAAACAACGACTTGCTCCCACCTCTGCGGGAAATGCACTGTATAATCCACTGTGTTTATAAACTCAGCTTTGAAATTGCCAATTTCTACTGAACAAAATGTAAAAGGTAGTTATTAACTTGAAAACTACCACTTCATGACATCACAAGGTGCAACAGAGCATTCTGAGCTCAGGAGAAGTAGTCAGACTAATAAAAGGTTACTTAAACATCTGTGAAAGAAACAAAACACAACTCCAGGTATGTTTTTGATGAGGTAACAGCATTATAACAAAATTATATATATTCACGAAAGTCAATTTTGCATAATATATGACCTTTAAAGGATTATACTGCAAGTTTTATTTTTATCAGCTTCTTTTGCATATATATATTTTAAATATAGAGGATATTTTAAAAACAACAACAACAATCTTACAAGATACCAGAACAAGATATTACTGATGGTACATTATATCTCCCACTGGTCTTCCTCACACATCATTTAAAGTATTGTGGCTATACATGGCTAATTTCCATGGCCTGCTATACCATCCTCAGTAATTTGCTCTTCAGAGGCTCATCTGTGTGGGACCATACCTCATCTCCTCCTGCGCCCAGCCTTTATCTCTATGTTTGAGGCTCTATCTGCCTCAAACATAGACTGAACAGGAGGCTGGGGAAGAGGTTGTGAAGACAAACATAGATATAAGTGAAAATTTTAAAAGATGTGCAGTCCACAGGCTGACAGAAGAATGGCTATGAATCTATGCCACAGTTATTTCTTTTTCTCCCAGTAACCCATCCCAACATCGTTTTTCTACCTGAAAAGCTACAGATTTTTAAGAAAACATTAGGGATGTAACAATAACCGAAATATTGTGATATCGTATTGAGTTCTCATAATAATATCGTGGACCATCACAATATATCGAATCACAAAGTCTCCTTACTTAAATGAAGTGTTATGGTGTAGCAATAGAAATTTTTTTTTAAAAGACAGAGAGACCATTTGTGGACCATGATCCTTTGCTCCATTTCAGTGTAGACTACAAGAAGAAATAACAGTTCTAAGCACTTAGTTCTTTGGATTAAGTCTTGTCAAGATGTTTTAAGAGGAAAAAAGTAGCATATTTTAGCAGTTTTAGCTGTTTAGCCTCCACAAAATATTGCAATAAATATTGTACCATGAGATGTATATCGTAAAAATATCGTACTGAGAGATTTGAATGTTGTTACATTCTTAATCGTGAGCCTCCCCTCCATATCGTGAGCTTTCCCACAATATCACAATAAATATCGTACCATGAGGTTCATACCATGAGGTTCATACCATGACAATATCATATTGTGAGGCTTGGATATCATTGCACCTGTAGAAAACATATAATTATTTATTTTTACTTATTGTAATATTTCTGGTTAATAAAGAACAGCATTTTTTATAGAATATTTAATTTAGACTTAGACAGTCTAAAGTAGCAAAAATAGCAAGAGACTGGTGTCAAATAAGGCATAATTATACAAATGTACGTGTACAAGTAAAAATAAAATATAGAAATATAGTAATACAATCTATTTCCATCATATACAAGAGTAAGATGCCAACCCTTCATTAAACTTCACTCTATCTAGGCTGAACGTCTTTTCTAAGAAACCCTGGGGACCTCCTGAAAATCCCTGGGTTGGGAATGACTGATCTAAACCATCAGCCCCTCCGTCCACCAGAACGTATGACCACTGTCACCGAGTATTAGCCAATCACAGCCCCAGCACCACAGTCCTTAACCTTTACTCTCCTCATCCATCACATGAAACAGCCCACGCTTGTCATCTGCCTGGGACCTCCTTTAATACACGCTGACCACTGCAGATCAGGAACACAGCAGTTGGATTTGTGGAGGTGCTCTGTCTCTGTTCTGTAGCCGTCACAGTCAGTTTCATTTTTGTACTTAGAACACACAAACGGTTCTGATAATTCACAGAAATATGTTTACAACTCTGCATACTGCTGAAAGGAAAGATTCATGTAACTTTCCGATGTGATGCCATTTGTTTGTTTCAAAGAAGATGCTAGTGCTCTGTCTAAAATGTTCTTTAGTATGACAGTAATATTATCTGTCTCGCAATAAATTCAATTACAGGTGTTTTTATTGCTTAGAAAAACTGTGTATCTTTCTAAAAACAGGTATAAGGGCAAATTTGGAGCTACGTTCCATATTTGGAATTCAGACCGTGGGTATTTTAGCAACCAATCGAACTTAGCAAAACTTCCCATTTAATGCTAGCAGGAGCAACCTTGGGGAAAGAAGGCACCTGATTTGTCTATTATTACCCTAAATTCCAGACTATAAGCCGCTACTTTTTTCTCACACTTTGAACCCTGCAGCTAATAAAACGATGTGACAAATATATGGACAGATTCTTTGTTTGGCACATTGTCCATTCATATAAACGGTCTATGGTTTGGCATCACAGCGGATACGAGCAGCCTGAGTGCAGAAAATGCCGCTGTTTGTGCGATTACACATGGATAGTTTATTGCCGTGTGATAAAATAAGTTATGATGCTAAATTAACATTAGTGAGGGGGGATTCATATCCGTATGCATAAATGTCGAGAAGAAATGTCTCAAATTTCAGTACCCAGACATCCACTCATACCTGACTGATAGAACTAACCCTGCCAATGAGAGAGTCTGAAAATCTGCTCAAATCCTACAAGACATTGACCTGATACAGACAGAACCCATGGACAGGACAGAGGCTCTTTCTGCAAGAGACATGTGCAGTAGAGCGCAGGGAAAGACGGGGGTGATGCACCGAGGAAGATGCTCGTTTGATGGTGTTTTGATCAGTTATTTTGTGCTTCATACACACACCGTCCTCATGGAAAACACACGAAGAAATGCAGATGATGCAGCTTTTAAGTTAACGGCGACTGATGTGGCTGTGGAAGAAGGAAACAGAGCTGCTGCACGTGAGCTCAGCATCAGTGAGTCGATGGTGAGATTATGGCAACGGCAGCGTGACGAACTGATTCAATGCAAAAAGACGACAAAATCTTTCAGAGGCAATAAAAGCAGACGGCCCGAACTTGGAAACATTCTTGAAGACTTGGACACCTGCGGCTTATATTCAGGTGCGGCCTATATATGTACAATTTTAAAATTTTGTTCAAATTTAGTTGATGTGGCTTATATTCAGGTGCACACAATAGTCCGGAAAATAATGTATATCTTGTTTTATGGACAAAATGGCAAAATAAAAACTCCAGGATCATACAGAGCGGATTAATACAAACATTTTATGTCCAAAATGACAAGCCTGACAGCAGCAGTTACTGTGCGAGGGGTGACAGTTTTTCAATAGAAAGTGAACTGGGGCCAGAGTTGATGGAGCTGGAAGCATGCCCATAGCCACTTCTTATTCGGAATGCAGTGGCTAGTGGGATAACTATGTCCATTTATAAATACAGTCTATGGGGATAACACAGATGTCTACTGGTTGGGTCGATATTTTTCTTGTGCTGTAGTGAGAAGTATGTATTTTTTCCATATCTAGGACTACACCAATCAATTTCCTTTTGCAGTAGATAGCTCTGTGCCGGTGAAATCCAAGTCATCATTTAAAACCATAACAGGCTCTCCATCACACCCAGAACTCCTCTCATAGGAACAAGAGGCTCCTTCTCTCAAATCTAATAACCCTCTTACTTACCTCATTGAAATTCATTTGTGGATATCTACGAGGAGTCCTTGTGATGAAGCTGAACTTATGCTACAGGGCAAAACGTGAGTGTACCGTTTTAAAGTTTAGGTTATTCCTAAAAGACTTACCAAAATTACTAATTACTTATAGCACATGGTAAAGCTGTAAGATGTTTTAGCAAACTTGAGGGTAAAATGAAAGCTTAGAATGGAGAGTCTGAGGCGGCTTTTGGTTTTGCTGCTGTAGAGAAGGTGGGATAGAGGAGGGCATAGCGTGTAGAAGCAGCAGGATGGAAGAGTGTATTTATACTGTATGAAAACTTGGAGGGATAATTATTGGAGAGGCCCCTGCACACAGAGGTGACAGCTCCAGAGTGTGCTCTGTCTCTGTTGACCCGTGTGCCTCATGTGACTCTGCTCCTCTCTGCTGGCTCCATTTGAAATGACTCTTTATATCTTTGAGCTTTAAGGCCTGGCATTAGTGGTGATTAGTGATGTCTTTTTTCTTTGCAATATTCAGAGTGGAACGTTGAGAGACACTAAAGTCAAGGCCCTTTTTGCTCTTTGGCTGATTGAACAAGGCTGTTTAATACATAGAATTATTACAGTCACATAGCATAGTGCTTTTACTCCTTTTAATGTTTGGAAGATGTTTGCCAGCTGCTGCTCAGCCATCTTTTCATTTGCCCTAGAACTGTGCCAGCTCTCGCTAGAATGTGAATGTCCCTGTGGCCCTGTGCAACAGGAAAGTCCTTGATCTAGCGCCCCCTTCAGGCCGCTTTACATGTCCCATGTGTCCTAAACACACAGTCTCAATGTCCTCATCCCACCCTCTGCCTGAGACTCTGCACTGAGTGTCAGTATTTTGTGATGATCTGATTCTTAAGATAATCTATCTATTGTTCTTTTTTTAGAGTTATGACATACTGTAAACTATTTTTCTTACATCATCAATGTGTCAGCAAAGTTATTATAAGATTAACTAATAGACTTTATTTATCTTAGCACATAAGTAGATAATCCTTGAGATAAAAATACCAAGTACACTTGGTATTAACAGTATTAGTATTAATCTTACCACAAGTATCACTGCATTGTCTCAGTGTGATTGCTGGGATTACAGTTGAAAACACAGATTCTGAATCATCCATATGTATGTTGTTCTGTTAGTTTCAAATGCACGTCTTGTGCTGGTCCCTGTTGTGTATTCACTGCTCACCTGTGTAACTCAGATTTGCATTAAATATGAGTGTTGTGAAAAGCACTACCATGTGCACACAGAGCTGTTTTCTCTTCATCTCTCCCCCTCTGATGGTTATTTTTCAGATCAGTGCTGCTGACTGGGGACAAGCTGAAACCACATACAACCTCTATGAGGTTCTCTTCAAGGTTCACAAGGTAAGACTGTGCTGCAAATATAATGAGTGAGTTTTCATCTGGCTCTTCTCTGGTCAGACAAACAGAGCAGTCTTTGAGCTGTGTACTAAACAGGACTTCAGGGCAGGACTGGTGCTTGGGTCCAGGACAGTTCTTATTATATGAGAGTATGTGTGATTGTTCTGAGTGTGCTCATGTGCTACAGTTCATATTATATTATAATGTGTGTGATTGTTCTGCTCTTGTGCTGCAGTTGTGGATGACAGAAGACTGCTGGCTGCAGGCGCGTCTGTACCTGGGCCTGGAGCAGGGCCCAGAGCAGGACCACTCCCTGTGCTTCAGTATCCTGGTGGGGCATGGCCAGAGCCACAGCTTCAGGGTGGAGCTGGCCTCTGACCTGGCCTGCTGGGAGAAGTCCTTCCAAAGAGCTGTCTTCATGGAGGTACAGCGGATACGAGTAAGTGGGACAAGTCTGAATTCAACCACCCCCACTTTGAGTACTAGCAACCTGACCCATCATAGCAGTTTAAAAAAAAAAGTCCAGATTGCACGGTGGACCACAGTGAACTGTGATTCTTCTAGCTTCAATCAGTATATGTACCCATTAGTCCTAATCATACACACACAAGTTAATATGATTTAAATGGTCCGCACGGTGCCAGTGTGCTTTTTTAAATACTATTGTTCTATAAATGCTTTTAGCCTCTATAAGAATAAGTCTTTACCTCAATGAGCCATTAAATTGCTTCTTAGGCTAATAATCCATGTGTAAAATGTGACTCACATGGAGAGCAACCTCAGCACTTTGGATCAGCTCACACTTCTTCTTCCTTTTTGTTATATACTGTTGTTATTTTGATGTTTTATATTGCGTCATGCAAATTATCCATTCTTAAACAATTTGTTTAGGGTAATATTTTAGTGGCAAGTACATTAAAAATGTATACCATCTATTTATTAATTACAATGTTAATGCTTACAGTATTGTTCAGCCACGTGTGTTTCTAATTATAAGTCTCCATGGAGATTCATATTTATGACCATAAGGGAACATTCTAGGCACATTGCCAGGAACTGTAAATCAACTTTTTATCTTTGACAATGCGTTTGAGTGGTTAAAGAATTTATAGTATGTAATAAGTTTAGATATACTTTTCTTTGCTTTCAAAACAAGTTAGTAATACCTCTTCCATTTGTCAGGTTACATTAAGAATCATGTACACCACTCCAACTCTGAATCCTCCCTTGTCATTGTTTAATTTTAGCCTAATTTCATCTTTCCGCTGGCTTGCGTGCAGTCAAGCGGAGATAAGGAGTAAAAACACGATAAGGCCCAAGGCTTTTTTGCCACTGGACCCTTAAGTGGGGACATTTATAAATATTACAGAGCCGTGCACCTGTCGCACAGAGTTAGAATCACCTCTGGACTCAGGAGCACGTAATTATACAATGCAAATTTCAGGCTGAGTTTTGGAGAGTGATTTTTCTCGAGAGTGTTGCATGGAACCTCATACCAAACATGTCCAGTGCTTTTAATGTTGAGAGGCACACGGGGTCAGCTAAAGTTCACAGCAAGATTTGAAATGAGTTGAGAAGGCAAAAGGGCAATGCGTTCGGCTGTTGGTTTTTAGATCTTTGAGCAGACTGTCAAAAAGAACCCTTGAGAAGTTAGAGAGTGTAAATGGTAACATTTTCAGAGTTTTGTGTCAGGTCTGTCTGACTTGCACTTGGAGCTGACATATGTTTTTAAAGAGGATCTTTTTCAAACCTCCTGTTCTGGTACAGGTACAGAAAGTACACTCATGCTGCTTTCACTGATATGTATTTAGTGTAGATATATATGCAAGAAAAATCTGAATTATCCTTAATTTTGTAAAGATGTAGAGATGTAAAGATTTATTTTGGAAACCAAAAAGATGCATATTGCTGGGTTTCAAGTGACATCACAGTATTTTATAGGTCGGTAATATTTAATACAAATCGGGATGGCTAAAATTAATATTGTTAATATGTAGATTTATGTTTTAATACAGCAAGTTCTAGAGTATAGTCACTAATAGAAATGTCAACATTTGTTCATTTACCTTTTAGATATTTCGTGGCAAAGTACAATATAATCTATAGGGAAATCTGGCTCCTGCCCCCGTCTGAGAGTATGACATCATTACACTGTAGAATCTGAAAACCACTAATAGTAAACCAGTTTGTTCTTGGTTTTAAATTGGAGTAATTAGATGTTGTAATTAGACAGTGAGTGCCATCATGTGGCTGTTTACAGCTGCTTAAATAAACAAGGAGCTGATTCCAACACTATATATCTTCTCTTTAGAGCACTGATGTTAATGAAACATAACTCATCTATTCATCTTGTTAATTCTTTGTGTGTCTTTTGGCATGGCAACTAGTCTATAAAAACACTCCTAAAAAAAAGTCCTTTATCTCTAATCCCAATTATGTTGTACCACATACTGGCATGGCAACCCTGAGCAAATATGCAGGTCAGATGTCACTAAGGCGTAGAAACAAAAACACTAGGGTTCTTAAGGTTTTATTTATTTTATTTAAATGGGAAACTCCCATTGAGATTACTAATAGTTTTTTTTTTGTTTTTTGTTTTTTCAAGAGAATTCTGAAACTATATCAAAATCTTTCAGCAATGATTAAACTGATCTGTTGGAACCAAACATTTTAGTTTCCAAGTGTTTTTTTTTTTTTTTTGTAAATGATGATGGTTATCAAATATAGTTGTAACATATAGTTGTAAATGCCAGGGTATGGATTTGAGATGACTTGTGGCATATGTTGTGCATTTCTTATTGTCAAACTTAAATATACTGTCAGAAGAACTGTAGTCAGGCTGGCGCCACCTAGTGCCTCCACTCAATTTAATTTCTCTCCAGTGACTAGGTCAGGAATCAGAATACACTAGATGGTTCTCAAGTGAGTTCTGGCACCAGCCAATTAGCGAAGAGCCATACATTCTGAGTTGGCAATGATTCCCGAGACTGAGGATTTAAAGCTGGAACAAAGAGAATGTTTGGTGAATTTTATCAATGGGAAAGAAGTTATTGCCCTTTTTCCTTCGTGATTTGGCACATTACATACGTCACTACCAAATAGCAGCGATTTTACCTGCCTACCATCCAGCGAACGAATCCTAATGCTGTGAGGTCGGACGGTTTCCACTAAGTGAAGTGGCTGATGAATCATAGTAGAAGACTTGTGCCTGTACCAAATCATATCTGAGCAGTGACCTGTAGAAACAATAAGAACAATCATAATATAACTCTCTGTTACATAGATAACAACAGGGGATATTTTGGCAGGATCTTCTCAAATTGTGAGAGAAATAGTTGAGTCAGAAAGCTTCACATCAAAAGCAATTTGAAATCCACTTCCTCTTTGTTGTTTGATCCTAAAATAGTCTGTGTTTATTGTCAAAGTCTTCTAACTTTTTCCTGAGCGATTTACCAGAAAACCCTGAGATTACAATGGCTCATCCTCATTGCTAATGTCAACTTGGAGATATAGATTTGTAGAACAAGGATGAATGGAGGACAGGTATGCATGTTAAAGTCTACGCTGCACAAATGAACTGTAGTTTTACCCCCAAAAAAGCTTAGAGTGAGAAATATTTGTTCACAACTAAAGCCTGCATCACAATGTCTTTTATGATCTACTGCTAACTTTTAATCCCAGGGAATTTTTACAAGTTTACAACACTGTTTACATGATTCATGATCACATTTGCATAATACAGCTTCTTATTGATAGACTCTTTTAGGCAAACATTAAGTATAATTATTAGAAGCGCTATTAAATCTGGTCATGTGTTCTTCGTAAGGTGTGACAGGGTGTGACTTCTTCTAAATGTAATGGTTGATTAGGTTTAGTATTACGTGCTGTTTGCTCTGAAATGATTGAAAAGTGATTGGACAGCTGCCTATCTTTGAATGAGTCACCGACCATGCCATTGGGATGAGTCTTCTTCTGCTTCATTAAGAAACTAGCTTTTGTATTTACAGAGGTCAGAGGAAGGTTTCATAAGTGCAAGAATCGTGTGAGGACATTTTACGTAATTATATAACTTTATATATATATATATATATATATATATATATATATATATATATATATATATATATATATATATATATATATATATATATATATATAGTATATATATATATATATATATAGTATATAGATTTTTATAAAGAGAAATATTTATAATTTAAGGGGAATTCATCTCTTTAAAATGGCCAGAGTCCGAACAACAAGGAAAAGTTTTTGTTTTTCAGTTTGTGGGTCAAAATCTGGAATTCTATGAGTGATGAGCTCAAAAAATACCCAAATATGAAAATGTTTAAACATAGATATAAAGAAATGATCATAGCTATGTGTGCACAAGAAGGAGTTTATGTTTATTTGTCATTTGAATGTAATCTACACCAGATTTATAGTAAGTCACATTACTCCAGATACAAAAATAAGAGTCTGGCAGAAACACCTTTTTGCATTAATGGGACTAAAAGTGGGGTAGGTAACTGACTTGCCTGCGCGCTGCCGATTACAGTGTTTACATGTACGCCTGTCACTGCAGTCCACAGACGCACAGACATCTGTTTACTCCACCAATACAACAGTTTTTTAGTGGCTTTTTTGACCTATATCTTCCTCGCAGTTAGCACAAAGTTTGTGGCAGACAAGAATCCAGAAGCAGTTCACCCCAAAAAAAAGTCCATTTTTGAGGTCGCTGAAAGAAGAAGACAAGGGGAAAAGCAGCGAAGCCAAACTAAGGTGATTCTTGGAGATTCATTCCAGCGATGGCGCAACTGAAGCAGACGCAGGGTCTAAAGACTGACGCACTGGTCGCCAAATTACTCCTGGACAGGTCACTTCTGCTTATTATGAAAACATACTTTATTTCCAAGAGCTAGACAAACGTTTTTCAGGACACGAAAGCGATATCCTATGTCTGAAAACGTAATTTTCAAGGCAAAGAAAGAGTCCGCTTGCAGCTGCGTGTTGTAGTAGTAGCTAGTTCATTCGCACGGAATCTCCGCACACCCTTCTCTGCTCCTCTCCTCGCTCCCTGCTCCGCTCTTCTCCCTGCTCCTCACCTCTTCTCCGTGCACGAAATGTCCGCACACCCCCTCCCCCCGCTCCTCACTTCTCCGTCTTGCCTAACCAACACTGTAGTTAGTTGTTTACAAGTCGTGCAGCGCACCGGCTGTAAACAAACCTGTTTCTGGCGTAAGGAGGAGGAGGGAGGAGGCGTTTCTACGTAGGGAGCTGTAGGGGAGGGGGGGGTTTCACGCATGCGCAACATTTGAAAAAGGACAAACAGTCGCTGGATTTCTCGTTCCTTGGAAAATCCTCTATACAACCTTTAAGATTCGTTCTCTCGACAGTAGGCGAGTACTTTTTTTTTTCTGATTCATGACCTAGTTGCTGGAGAAAAATGAAATTGAGCAGAGGCACTAGGTAGCTCCAACCTGGCTAGTAAAAGACACTTGTTAACTTGAAAATTAGGACTTCATGACATTTTAAGGTGGAACAGAGCATTTTGAGCTTGGGAAACATGTGTGAATGAAACAAAACACAAATACAGGTATGTTTCTGATGACTTAACAGCATTAAAACCTGTCTTAAAGCTCACAAGTTAGTTACTCTGACACTATGTTTGCAGTAATAGGTGGAGTTCACATTCTAGAATTTGATTATGTCTTGATTATTATGATTATAGCCTCTAGTCCACAGATGTTGAACCGTATCATTATTATCTGGTATTATTTGTACTGATTAATCTTGTGACTTGATCTTCATCTTTTCACCTGGTAACAATTTAGGTGTCAAACAATGGCGCCACTTTCTTAAGCTATTGTGACAGAAGAATTTCACCTTTGTTTGTTTGATAGATAAGATGTTGAGCATGATGCCAGTTTTCATTCAGTGTGTATAGGCCCAGTAATGACCTCGTTAATTGGTGCAATCTATACAAGGTAAAATAATCTCTTCTATCTAGAGTGAAGTACTAATCTGAAGCACCTTTTTCTGATTTGATATATGTTGTGCTTTTCCATAAAGTAGTTTGACTAGAATCTCATTATACCTTTAAGTGTTTTAAAGAACATTATATAACCTCATTCAGCATTCCTCTGACACGCCAAAGAAAATGTCCTTAAGAATATTTCCTGTTGCATTTTAAGTTGAGCTAATTCCCACTGAAGCCTCTTTTCCAATTAGTGAAGTTGGTGCTTACCGCGTCACAACAAAGTCTCAGTGGGTGACAGAGGGTGCAGGAAGAAACTGCTTTGCGGCTGTATACTTTTAACCATTTTTTTTTTTTACTTTTAGCTTTTCATCCTAGTCACAGCTGAATTCGTGCCTGCTCCAAAAAAGACCAGGGCCAGGGTCTGTGAGCACAAACACAGGGCAAAAGAAGAAACCGTGCTCTCCATCCGCACCCCGCCATCCCACTGTGCACGGTTCTAGATAATTAAAAGCACCACGGCTTCGAGTCAGAGTGCGACAAAGGAGATCCCAATCTTTTCACTTGTTGGTATTCAGAGAGAGTGGCCGCTAGACTGTCACGTCACCCAGCTTTAGAGGGATACTGCGCTTCCACATGGGTGCTTCTCCGAGAGTTGTGAAAAGCCTCTATTTGTTTGTGCAGGGAACGCGACAAATGACTGTTAAAGATTGATGCCTTCTGAAATGTGTTTCTTCTGTCAGTGTCAATTATCAAAAGCCCCGAGGCGTACTCCATAGGCAGCAGGCGTATCACAGAGTTAGAGGAGGACAGCAGTTTAGATATGGCCATTAGTCTTTGATTGCCAAGACTTCAGGACATTTTATATCCGATTTTTTCTTCAGTTGTTCATATGTACCATTGGCACAGGAGGAAGAGTAGACAAAAGTTCAATTAAGAGTAATGTTACTTTAAAATAATATTACTCAAGTGGAAGAAGTGAAGAAAATTCATTTGAAGTTAATGTAAAACATAAAAGAAACACCCTATTAACATTCAAATACATTTAAATAAAGACTACCTAATTATTTTATATGTGGAATACTACCAGTTTTTGCTGTTGTTGTAATATTTATTATGCCTCAAAATTAGCAGTAGAGTTCGCACTCAGACACAAATATCTCTCGTGTCCTCCGCTGAAGTATTCATTTGATTTGTGTACTTTTTAACATGTTGTCAGTGACATACACGCACAGCTCCCTGTCCTCTTTAAATATTTATTCATTTTAGCACATCTCAGCAAAAATCAAGGAAGTAGTGATGTTAACAGTGAGGTCGCCAAGCATTATCACAAGCTTAAAAAAATAAAAGAGTTTTATATGAAGTAGTTAAGAACAATCTGTGGGAAAACAAACAAATTTGAGATATATATTGTATATGTAATTCTAAGTTGGCAGAAGGTTAATATACAGGCTTATTCAGTCTTAGAAATTGTTTCATCCAACATTTGTGGATTTTCCTTTTGGTGTAATCATTAGGGAAATCTGACCCCATCTGGACCTATCACACATCTGTGATTAGGTCAAATGAATCCATTTTTAGGTTCAGTAACACTTTCACTTCTGTATACACTCATGTAGCATGATCAGCCTAATTATCTCTGAGCACCTGATGGACCAAGTTCTGTCAGCGCTGTGTTTCTGAGTTTATCGAAACCTAAAAGTTTCTCAGAACCCTTTCTGAAGTTGCCAGGCAACGAGAGAAGAATCCAGGAAGTGTCTGTGCTGAGCCAAAGAAACGTCTGGAACAGAGCAGCAGCACTGTCACAGATGAGATTAGCACTCTTCTTTTTGTGCGTGGGATCAAACAGTGTAAATGATGCAGCCTATAATAACACATACAATACTATTAGATTTATGCACCACCTGTGCACAATGTTTAACAGAAGACATTTCCTTCTGAACAAATGGTACTTTTAAGAGCATTATCACTGCATCATCATATATACTTCTACTTTAATAAAACAGTTGAAGCTGACTAAAGTCACAACCACACTGTAGGTCTATGTTATTAGGTTCTTTTTTTTCAGACCTAGAGTGTTATTTCATACCTGACAGTTTCGACTGCTCACTAGCGTCTTCCTCAGAGTGATCACGTGATGTTGCTGTGACGTGTCTGGTCAGCTGATTTAAACAGGTTTTGGCGCTGTCTTCCTACCGGTGGACCCCACCCCACGTGACCACTCTGAGGAAGACGCTAGTGAGCAGTCGAAACTGTCAGGTATGAAATAACACTCTAGGTCTGAAAAAAAAGAACCTAATAACATAGAATATCGGAAGACCAAATTAATCTCATTGGACCACACTGTAGGTCTATTTTAAAAATGTACTTATATTTTTTATTAAAGATTTGCAGCCTTCACATCAAATGGTCAGTTTATTTAATTTGTGGAACGCTAACATGAAATCAGATGTTTGTTCTGTGCTGGTTCTTTTTACATTAGTATTACAGCTGGGTCTCATTAAACACTCTCCTTGGGGTCACATTGACCCGAAGAAATTTATATTTCCTTCCCGCTCTCTTGGGGTGGGTCAGTCAGACCCAAAAATGTATTTTCTCGCCTGGCGAGAGTTTATTTGAAAATAAGTTTTTGGGTCTGATTGACCCGCCCCAAGAGAGTGGGGAGGAATTTTCTTTTTTCTTTGGGTCAATGTGACCCCAAGGAGAGTGTGAGGGTTAAGAAGTTACTGATACGATACATACCTCAATACATCGGCCACGTTACGATATGTATCTCGATACAGTGTACTTTCTGCTCAATACTCTATATTCAAATCGTTTTCATATGGTTCAATAAAAAATAAAGACTGAATCATGGCTATGATACTGAAAGTCTTTGTTAAACGGACCCATGTTAATCATCAAAACAGTGAACATGTCAGATGTGTCGCATGAACGAGTTTCCTTCCTCTAAACAAGCAACAAAACTGTAGCTGTAACAAAATAATTTTGTAAAATATACCAAAAAATACTCTTGGGAATATATATCGATACAGTAGCCCACAATATTGATACTGTATCAACACATTAAACCATACAATATTTGGATATTTTTGTACACCTCTATTAGTACACTATATTGTTTTTATTATTATATTAAGATATCTAATTATGCAAAGATTTTGGCTGCTACCCATGTGTTTTCGTAGTGTTTTTAAACTCATAATACCTTTTCTCACATGCCAAATAGTTAATCTTTATTTGAGTGACAGACATTTGATTTGATGCCAGTAAAGTCTGCATTACCTGCTAAACCTGAGCCTCCGACACAAGAGACTTTCACTGAGGCTGTGACTAATGCTGCACTTAAAAGGGCCCACTGAAAAAGCTTGTTACTATTAAAAGTTGGCTGATAGCATGTCTCCTGATACCAGCACTGTCTGCCGAAACAAACAATGACTGAATGTAACCACGACTTAACTATGAATTATGAGTGACATTACATTATCATTTGAACACTTAATTGTGAAAACATACTTATGATGGTTTATGTTGACATGGTATTGTAATAAAACTCAAAATAATAATAGTAGCAGTAGAAAGTCAAAAGTTGGATAAAATATTCATATTATTTGTAATACAATATCTAAATGGAAAGCAGTTTGTCCAGTGTCCTTCAGTTTGCTTTACAGATCTATGTGTCATATAAATTTGAGTGTTGCAATTATTATGAGAAGAAATATTTAGTTTTAACAGTTACTCAACAACAATAAACGGCAGTGTAATTCTTAATCTATTAGTCACATTGCCTAACACAGGACCATTCTTTGAGTATGTCACCAGATTTTTTGTACCAAACTTTCTGAAATATAAAGTAAGGTGAAATCAGATGACTTGTTTTTTATTTATTTTTTTATTTTTGTTGTGAATAGGAAAGTCTTGATTAACAATTGTAATAAATTATCCTGATATGTACTGATTCCACCTTAAGCAAAACCTTTTATTGTTATATAAAGCACTCATAATACTGTATAATAGTTATGCAAGAGTCAATGTTGTGTAATATGTGACCTTGAAAATTGCACAATAATTCTAAATCTCGCTAACAAAAACTTGTCTTGTGTCCACAGACCAAAAGTTACGTGTGCAGCAGCCAGGGCAGTGTGCTGTGCTTCACTGTGGACTTCGACTCCGGCTTCAGCTGCTCACAAGGCTCTTCCAAGGTCCTGTCTCGTCCATCACACTGTGTTTTGTCTGAGTCTCCCGAGGCCTGGCGTTTAAACATTATTACTATATCAATCACTGCGATCATTACGTTCATACAATACATAAACAGCTTGTAAAAGAGAATGGTTTATGTATGCCGCTATAAAATGGAGGGCACTTTTCTACAGCATGTGTGATTGTGTGACAGATAAAAGACAGGGTTAGTGGTGAGTCATTCCTACGTCATTATCAGGAAACCATAAAAATTAAATGTATTTAATATAATCTTGTTGCATGATTGAACATACATAGACTTATTCATTAATCTAAAAGGCATTCATTAATAACAGCATTCAAACTGTTGTTTCTCATCTAATACTCACTTAACCCATACATTTAACTTACTGAAATAGAGTTTGTATAATACAGTTAAATAATAATAAAACTGTGGACAGCTGCTAATGTATTCTGTGACTAAAGCATGTAATACAGTAAAAGAAACAGAATCAGGAAAAGCTGCTTATTTTGAGTGGAAAAAATTCATTAAATTATGTAGGGATATTATGTATTTTTGTGTTCTATCATGTTATAATGGTTAGCTGTAAGATTTTGTGCAATACTCAGCCCACAAGCCTACATCATCCATGCTCCCACAAACATGCAAAAGTGTGATACAAAACTGCACACAGCAACTTCACAAACCTTTGCGCTGGGAGCAAAGTCACCCTACACAAGCATGTCCAAACTATGACCCGTGAGCCAAATCCGACCCTCAGACACATTTTTCTTGGCCCTCAGGCTTCCAGGTCAATTGGCTCAAATTACCTTGTATGAATTAAAAATTTACTTTTTACAGCAAGTTTTTTGAAAATCTACCTTGATAAAGCTCATATTTAATATTTAGTGTGTGGTTTTCAGGATGTTAACATGAATAAAGGACTGATGGCTCATTCTAGCATGTTAAACACCAGCAGCAGTCTACAGCCCTCAATCAGCCCTCCGTTTCATCTGTGTTTAGATATGTGGCCCTTTATGAAAAAGGTTTGGACACCCTTACCCTACACTCCTTCGCGCGCTCTGAGGTCTGAGGGCCAGCTCCGACTTGTCATCCCAAAAACAAGACACAAAAGCAGCGGTGATCGGGCCTTTTCTGTGGTTGGCCCCAAACTTTGGAATGCCTCAAATTAAGAGCGCCCTCTTTAGTCAATTCTTTTAAGTTTCATTTTAAAACACTTTAACTCACTGGCTTTTAACACGGCGTGAGAAATGTGTGCTCCTCTGACTGTTTTTTATTTTTATTGTATTTATTTGCTATTTTTATATTAGCAAATTTTAGTATTTTTTATGTTTTTATTGACTTGCTTATTTATTTATTTTATGTTTTATTTAATTTTATGTTTTATTTTTATGTGCAGCACTTTGGAGACTGTGCTATACAAATAAAACTGGATTGGATTGGAAAGGGAAGTGTCAAAAAAGTGAAACTTATGAATCATGTTAATACGTTGTTTTCAGCGCATTTTCAAAACAAAAGGTAATACGGTGATCTAAATATGTTATATGTTTGCAGTTAATACCCAAGTAAAATACTCCCTGTGTTAAAAAAGGAAACGGGGAAGCAAAATGATGCAACATAAAACAATAATCAATAATAGACTTCAAAATACAATACCGGCTACACTGATCACAAACAGAAGGTATTCTGTAGTCCAACAATAATAACATAATTAAGATAATAACACTTTAATTTTCTTTCCTGTCTCGTAGACTGTGCTGTGGCGATACAAGTTTTCTCAACTGAAAGGCTCATCTGACGACGGGAAAACCAGGGTAAAACTCCTCTTCAAGAACACTGAGAGCCAGCAAATAGACATGAAGGTAGGCCGTGTGTGACTGTGTAGCGCCAAGTGAATGACCGAGTATTGTTTTAATGCTGTTTCTCACTTGCTGTTGTCAGGAGCTGGAGTTTGCTAACCTAACGGCGGTCCTTCACTGCATCCACTCCTTCATCGCTGCTAAAGTGGCCTCTATGGACCCTCTGTTCATGTGCACTCAGACTCTAACCGGGAACTACACAAACTCCTGAAGACCTGTTTTCAACATGATGCACACCTGTGGGATTTTTATGCACAATGACGATCATGGAAACATTTTGTCCTATTTTTGTATGAAAAAGTAAAAAATTAAAATATGATATTGTAAATTATGTATGAATCATTTGCTCTTTGGGCAACTGTAAAAAGTAGTCAACAAAACACTTGAAATGTGATTGGACTGAAAGCGTTTTTTAAAGAAAGAACCTGCATTATATTTAACAGCCCACACAGTGTATCTTCTGTCAGCTCACGTAATGGTTTCATTTTTGCCTTTTTAATAAATTGATACCCAAAGTACAACTGCCAATCATTTAAGAAGCAAGTCACAGGGTCTCAGATTTCTGTTTGGAATGTGCATGTTCTCAAGATTTTTCCTCTGGGCGTTGCGTTTTCTCCATCAACGTAAACCTGCACTCCGACGCAGGAGCTGGGAATTCTGGTGCCTGTTGGTTAATAAATATCAATAAAACTATCCCCTGATCAATGCCCGTGAAGAGGAGCCAGTAGAGGAGGAGTTTTCAGTGGTGTTAACGGAATGTTCCACCCACAGGACAGCACTGGAGCAACTATGTCCTTGAACCGGTCTATAAACAAACACCTCGATGTGATTGTCATTCAAATTCCCAGTTAAACCTGTTCTAACCCTCACTGTGCAGAACACCTCAGCCCCTCCTCCCAATGTCACAAGTTACATATTGTGGTTTGTTAATAGATTAACCAAAACCAGGACCTAATTTCTGGTAATTAAAGCAGAGATGACGTAAAATTCAGAATCAAGAGAAGTAGGAGGAAATGACTCCTTTGTGCTTGGAACTGAGCTTGGAACACAGATTAACTAGAACTGAAGTGGCCGGTCCTGTTGGATGTCTCTTATCTTTGCTAATGGCTCTAGATGTAATCACAAACAAAGCTTCACATCTTAAAAAATTGCATTCATTGCTCCTTATACCAGCGTCAAAGCAGAGTTTTTAACAGATTAGAAACTAACAAAATTCCATTTCTTTTATTAATATTTTTACTAGTATCATTCTTGGCCCTTTTCAGTTGTATTTACATGAATGTCTGTAGAGCTTCTGTTTAAATCATCACTGGGCAGAATGAAGATGAAAACAGAGGGTTTTATTTGACTTTCCAAGGCTCATACTCAAACATCTGTGACACCAGCCGTGCACTGGGCCCTGTCTCTGTCCTCTGTGCCTCCTCTTCCTCTCTGCCTCTCCCTTGTCTCTCCTCTTCCTCTTGTCTGTCTCTCTTCTTCCTTTCCTTCTCCACTTTCTCCCCTCTGTGTCTCCTCTGTCTCCTCTGCGTCTCCTCCTCCTCTTTCTCTTATTTGTCTCTAATCTGCCTCTCCTTTCTCTCTCCTCTCCTCCTATCCTCTGTGTCTCCTCTGCTTCTCCTCCTCCTCTCTCTTCTTTCTCTTACCTGTCTCTCCTCCTCCACTTCCTTTCATCTGCCTCTTCCTCTCCTTTTCCTCTCATCTGCATCTCCACTACCTCTCCTCCTCCTCTCTCCCTCTCCTCTTCCTCTCTTATGCCTGTCCACCTCCTCCTTCTCACCTCTGCCTCTCCGCCTCCTCAAATCTGCCTCTCCTTGACCTCTCCTCCTCTTCCTCTCCATCTCCTCTTATCTGCCTATCCTCTACCTCTCCCCCTCCTTTCGCCTCTCCTGCTCTCCTCCTGTCCTCTTCCTCCTCGTGTCCTCTTCCTCACACACAGACAGCGTGTTGCGTCAGAGTTGTGTGGAGCTCTGTTCGAGTGCTCTGCTCTCTGTCAATGGGCCGTGACTCCACAGTCAGGGATCCTGGCACTAACTGGAGCACTTGTGATAAGAAGTCTGACAAAGTCTAAGAAAAAGACTGTGCTCGGCTGCTTTTAATACACACAGAAGACACAGCACACCATTATATTTACACGAGCTTGTCTTTTATTATTATTGCGAGCAGCACTTCTATGTATTTACATGAAGTGAAAGATCAGTGTAACCGAGGGAAATGGCCACACTGATGTTTGTGCAGTAAAGCAGTACACTGGCAAACCTCAAAAATCCTCCTCTCAGCAAACCTGCCACACTATTCTCTCAAACTCTGGTCAAATTTGTGCCAACCTAAATAATTTGAGTCAGAGGAGATAGAAATGTCACAATAATTCAGCGCTCTGCCTATAGGTTTGTGAATTTAGACGTGGACCTGACTCAGAGCACAGTAAATCAGAATATAAACTGAAGATCACATAGAGCGTTAGTGAGGGTCTGGACCGTATATAAGAACATCGTTAACCCGCTGGACACCACATTCCACATAGGAAGTGAGCATGCTTCCGGCTCCATCAACTACAATGGACTTTAACATTAAAAACACCCCTCTCTGTGTAACTGCTGCTGCTAGTCTGGTCATTTTGGTCTCACCGAATCCGTGTATCATTCGTTCATTCGTTTTTCAAAATAAAACCAAAAATAACAACAACAAAAAACGGATCTGTGTCGTTCAGACTGTCATTAAAAGATCAGTTACAGGAGCATAGGGGTGAAAAAATCAGATTTGAGTCACTTCAGGCTGAAGTCTGAACGTAGGGACTTTGGCGTTACTCATAGTGTTTGCCTCCAGTCAAATGACGCTCATGAGGACGGCAGTTATAGGAGCAAATTTGGACCTGCTTGCATATTAGGATTAGGAATTTACTTACAGACAACAAAGAAAAATAAACACCAGAATCATGTAGAGCAGGTTAATCCACGTATCATTCGTCCATTTGTTTTTCAAAATAAAACTAAAAATAACAAAACAAATAACAAATACTTTCTTCATTATTTGTCTCCAAAACCAAAATGAAATAATGAATTTTTTTCAGTTTTCGATTTTGTGTTTAAATGAATAATGGAAAAAACAGATCACAGACGTTTCCCGTTTCAGTGACTTAAACTGCGATGTCGGACTTTTGCGCCACATATGGACTGAACCAGGACTGAACCAAGCCTGAACCAGTACTAAAACAGGACTGAGTGTCGAGACGGGCCCGGAGGTGCACCCGTGTAGACTGCCGGGTGATCAGGACTGAGACCAGGACTGAGACCGGGAGTGAGAGCAGGACTAAGACCATGACAGGACTGGCTCAGTCCTGGTTTAGACCTGGCTCAGTCCTGGTTTAGACCTGGCTCAGTCCTGGTTTAGACCTGGCTCAGTTCTGGTTTAGACCTGGCTCAGTTCGTATGTGGCGCAAAAGTCCGGTATCGCATTTTAAGTCACTGAAACGGGAAATGTCTGTTATCTGTTTTTTCCATTATTCATTTAAACACAAAATCGAAAACGGAAAAAAACGAATTGTTATCTGTTTTTTCATTTTGGTTTTGGAGACAAATAATGAAGAAAATAGTTGTTTTTTCATTTTATTATTTTTGGTTTTATTTTGAAAAACAAATGGACGAATGATACGTGGATTAACCTGCTCTACATGATTCTGGTGTTTATTTTTCTTTGTTGTCTGTAAGTAAATTCCTAATCCTAATATGCAAGCAGGTCCAAATTCGGTCCTATAACTGCTGTCCTCATGAGCTTCATTTGACTGGAGCCAAACACTATGAGTAAAGCCAAACTCCCTTAGGCTACATTCAGACTGTAACCTGAAGCGACTCAAATCAGATTTTTTCACCCCTATGCTCCTGTAACTGATCTTTTAATGACTGAACAACACAGATCTGATTTTACTCAAATGCGACCCAGGACACTTGGATATGTGGTCCTAAAACCCATACATATCCGATCTTTTGACATGGGACTTCAGTCTGAACGGTCAGGTCACATTCATCCCACCTACACGTCAGGCTCGGAGTCTAGTCCATGGACGGAAAGCGAGGTTAGCGACTTTATGAATATTTGAGGGGATCGCTGTATTCAGGACAAATAGGAGAGGTTTTATTGGAACCGTGTGGGTTTTGAAATGATTGCCAAAGAAATGTCCGAGTGTGGTTACAGGCGGTCCTGGCTCCACTGTCAACGAAAAATAAGGGGCCAGCAATTAAATACAAGGAGGCTAAAGACTCAAACAAACGAAGCGGCCGTGTGGACGTGTAACCTGTCCATTTTGCAAAGAACTGGACGGGATTTTAGGAGACAAGCCCAGAGTTTAGGCTACTCACTGCATATGATGTTGTTATGTCCTCCAGTGCGCATGTGGAACACTTTTGGGGCATTTAAAGTTCGCACTGGAGATCACATACAAGTCGCGTTTAATTGGAAATGTGAACGACCTCGCAAAAAAATCTGAATCGAGCATTAAGCCCTCAAGTCTTGTCATTTGTTTATACAGTCTAGGGTCTGGACTTAGCATTTCTCCCTCTGCAAGCATGTAAATAAAAAAAGGAAACCATCAGTCTTCAGAGTTGAACAGAAAATGTTGTGATCTGCAGTAAATCTACAGCATGTATACAAAAGACTATACTCTCTGCTGACTGCTGTGACAGCTTAAACAGGCACCATCTCATTAGTGTAGCCTGAATAGTCTTTGGAGTCCCATCACACACTCACAGTTTCATATTTGTGATCTCCCCCACTGTTTCAGCCCTGAATGAACACCACACATCTCATATACTGTATATATTGGCCTTCTATAAAACATCTCCATTCCCAGGAGGACGTCTGTTTCCTCCTGTCTCTTCTCTAATTGTTGTTTTTCGAAGTTTTTCGAAGCTGGGCATATTCTGAAGTGGCTGACATATTGCCTGGTTGCGAGTGCTGTTGCGGACCAGTAAACCGTAAATGCGACGTAGGGCTAGAAGTTGAGTAAAGCAAAAAGAGATGAGAATATAAAGTCAAGTCCACTCAGTTTTTTGGAGGTTAAGAGTGAGAAGTTGATGTTTAGTTATCCTTACCAACAATGGCCTTTTGGATGAGTTTTTTTCTTATTGTTATGTATGTACCATATCTGACTGGCAGACAATTTAACTGTAAGTAAATATTAAACTTATTCTTTATATGCTAGTTACATATGTATCCAACAACAAAGTAATCTGTTTCAGCTACAACCATGAAAGATTTGCTTGTTTCATCACATCAAGAAAGTCTGGAAATTGTGGATGAGGCGTTGTTTCACTCCAAACAGAGGTAATGCGTTGGCTACCGTCTAATACACCAAAACAAACCCGAACAGAGAGTTATTCTTCTGTTGTGCGAGCAGACGGAGCTCGAGCATGTTCATGTTTCTGCGCCAAACTGAGCCGCAGACGCAGAAGGTGTCCCGTGCCGCCGAGGTTTTCCAGACGACGCTGCAAGTGCTCAAGAGCAGAGTGAGACGGAGATACAGGAGGGACGTGGAAGTGGCAGGTACACTCACTTTGTTTCCAGATTTCCTAAAGGAAGAATGTGAAAAGAAGAAAAGATTACTTTGGTGGGTACTTGTTGTCCAAATTTGGTTCACTTCATAATATTATGTACCAAAAATACATATTCAGAATACTATTTTTAAGTAGGTTATAAGAAGGTAACTGTATTCTGGTGCAGTCACTTTTTGATGATTTTCAGATTACAGTTACTTTTATAAAATCAACAATACATCACAGCATTTGATCATGTAATTTAGGCTTTAAACTGCACGGAATCAGTGAGAAAAAGACAGATCCACTCTTTTGGTGAGTGTGTGTGTGATTTTTCCATCTCCAATTAGTGACAGGAAAGTATTCGGAATACAGTCCTTTGATTGGCCTGTGTAGTCGCATACATTACAAAACACATTTTAATGCAGGTAATCAGTATTCTGTAACTAGATACATTTTCAAAGTATTCTTCCCATCAGTGAATATACAGTATATTTAGTTGGTGAACGGTCCCGCACACCTTGTCTCCGTGGAGATTCTTTTGCTTTACTTGAAATGTTTCACAGTTTGGTGTTAAATTTATGAGACAAGTGATGCCACCAGACCAAGTCACTGATCAGATCTGTACTCATCAGAATACACGTTTACCAGGTTTTTAATAAAAACATCGATCGATAGATGTAGAACAGGGGTCTCCAACCTGTAGTTCGGGAGCTACCAGTAGCTCTCCAGCCCCTTCCAAGTAACTCAAGAGATTTCTGAATTATATGCATTGTGCTAAATAACAAGATTTTGATGAAATAAATGGTTATTAGTATCATTTTGATGCCTAACTTTGTGCACTAATAAATTGTTTATGTTTTATAGGTATCTAACTGTACCCTCTATAACGCCGTGGCTCTTTCTCAATTTCTTGCGCTAAAATGACTAGCTCCCTGGTGTTTTTGTTTTGTTAAGATAGCTCACTGGAGGAAAAAGCTTGGAGACCCCTGGTGTGGAACAATCCAGGCAAAGAAATAACATCTCCATGGAGACAGATGACAGACCCTCCACCAGAAAAGTTACATAGTGCACCTTTAATAAAAATAGTGGCTTACATTTGAATTTCACAAAACATGCTTCTCAAAGTGATACACTACAGTTTAAGTGTTCACTCCACACTGAAGAGGTAAGACCATTGTTGCTGTGTAGTGGTGCTGCTGGTGAGTGTGTGAGTGTGCGTGTGCGCGTGTGTGTGAGTGTGCGTGTGCGCGTGTGTGTGTGTGTGTGCGTGTGTTTGTGTGTGTGCATACGGGTGAGAAATGGGTGTGCATTTGACAGTCTGGGTTGTATAGTTGTGTGGTTGTATGGGGTCAAGCAGCTGTGGAATTGTTGTAATGACTGTAAATCATGTCATGTTCCATTCTTCTGTATGAAGTGCTTTATAAATAAAGTTTGACTGATTGATTTATTGACGTGCACACATTCCATTCATAGACAGGCAAGGTGAGAAAAGGGTCTTGTTCAAGGGCACAACAGTGTATGGGTTGGTAGACTAACCCTTAGTCTACCAACTAACTAACTTTAGTGTGAGTACATACAAGTGTCCTGTTTTTTGTATATTTGACTTGATTGTATGTGCTGGTTTGGTTGCCGTTTCCATTTTAGTCTTTCTTTTGTCATATTTAGAGGTGGTGCAGGTTTTGAATGCTTTAATTATGGCTGATATTTTCTGATAAAGCTCAGCTCACTGTGTGTCTGTGTGTTCCACTGTCAGAGCTGCTGCTGTGGGAGGATGTAGCCCTGATGTCAGAGCTGTCCCTGTGCCCCCCTGCACCTCCTCCCTCGGAGTGTCAGGACCCCCAGCACCTCAAGTACAGAAGCATCAGCGGACTCTGCAACAACAGGTGACACAAAACCCAAATCATCCTTTTACACAGCATATTGTTTTAACCAGACAATACAGTATGTAGAAGTAGATGTTACGCAACAGTTACAGCAGAAACAGTGTCCAATCAGTATTCTCCTCTCCACTTGAATTATACAGATGTATCACTTATCGAGTCTCACTGAGTGGAGGCCCCAGAGCAGACTCAGGGCATGCCACAGGGCTTGCTATTACTGCATTCATTTTTGTAACTAATGGGAGAACTATTGAGAACTATTGATCAGATGTTTATCATTAAGAAAACAGGAAAAAAAAAAAAATCTAATAATAATTTTCTTAGGGGCTTGGTCTTAGAATTTCAGTGTAATTCACCAAGCTTGATTTTGCCCTTATGAGGTACAGTGCAGCTTTTATCAGTGATTGCTTAGAACTAGCTGTCAAAGCATGACCAACAGGAAGGGTGGGCGGGGAAAAGTTGTCTGTGTTTTAGAAAAAGAAAGATCATTAAAGGTCCTATATTACACAAAATTAACTTTTTAAACCTGAGATTTAAATCTTGTTTCAATGTTGTTACCTCATCAAAAACATACCTGAAGTTGTGTTTTGTTTCATTCATACATGTCAAAATATTTTATTCCACCTTGTGATGTCATGAAGTGGTAGTTTTCATGTTAAGACCTACCGTTTACGAGCTTGATTCATCAGCCGGATTCACTTCGAGGAAACCGTCTGACCTCGCAGCATTAGGAGTCGTTCGCTCGATGGTAGGCGGGTACTTTTTTTATTTAACCAATCGCTGCTGTATGTAATGCGCCAAATCCCGTAGGAAGAAGGGCAATACTATCTTTCCCCTTGATCAAATTCATCGAACATTCTTTAAATCCTCGATCTCGGGAATCGCTGCCAACACAGAATGTATGTCTTCATCTACATCCATCTCGTCCGCTTTGTTTACTGTTGTGCTGTATCATAAAAGGGACCCAGACAGGCACTTGAGTTTGACGTCATGGCTTCACAGCTCTTCTCTGGCCGGTGCACGGTCTACAACTTCTGGGGTTCTTGCAAATCGTTTAGTGTATTTTGATTCCTGACCTGAGAGAAATGAAACTGAGTGGAGGCACTAGATAGGGCCAGTCTGGCTATACTTTAACCTTCTGTTTTATAAAGACATTATACATTTCAGGGCTGAAATGATCCAGCCCTATGTGACACTCTTGCTGTCTTTTTTGCTACTAGAATTTATTTTATCATTTATATTTTTGCTCTTTGTTATTATATTTATTGTGATGTGTGAGCTACTGTGTCCAAATAATTTCCCTTGTGGATCAATAAAGCTTGTCTAAGTCTAAGTCTAAATGATTGTAGTAAAAATGTAGCACTTCCTGTATCACATGACATCACAAGGTGGAACAGAGTATTTTCCATTTGAAATGCCGGATATGTTTGTGATAAGGAAACAACAGTATAACATAAATCAGAAATAGCATGATATGGGCCTTTAAAAGATCTTTAAACATTGCTACAAATTGGGAGATCTGATCTTCACACCATAATTTGGATTCCGTGTATTCTTCTATTGCCGACTGCTCATGTTTGAAATGAACGTCTGCACAGTAAATAAATTACACAATAACAACAATGCCTCATCCAGCCCTTTACTTCACATGAATCTGACTTTAACTTGACTTTGAAAAGATATATCCGTGCTTACCAAGTGTAGGAAAACAAATGGTGTTGTCATTTTGCTTTGGCACATGCAGTCTTGTGTGCTGGGTAGTGTTGTGTTCCTGGAGAGCCTTCTTGATTTTTTCTGTCAGGCAAAACCCTCTCTGGGGAGCAGCCAACACCGCGCTGGTCAGATGGCTTCCAGCAGAATATGAGGACGGGGAGAGAGAACCCAAGGGCTGGAACTCACAGCGCCTCCACAATGGATTTCAACTTCCCTCGGTAATGTGCAAACTCTCTCCACGCACCGCAGTCTAGGGAACATAATGAACATTTAAAGAGCCCATATTACGCTATTTTTGATCTATTATAATGTTGTTTCCTTATCAAAAACATATCTGCAGTTGTGTTTTGTTTTCATTCACACATTAAACATATATATATTCACACTGAGTTCATCTCTCAAACTGAAAACACTCTGCTCCACCTTGATGTCATGGCAATACATGAGGAGCTCCAATGCAGGGATGTAACAATAACCGAAATATCATGATATCGTATCATCAAGTTCTCACAATAATATCATGGACCATCACAATATATCGAATTACAAGTCTCTTTGCTTAAATTAAGAGTTATGGTGCAGCAATAGCTAAAAAAAAGACAATGGGGACTACATAGACCATGATCCTTTGCTCCATTTCAGTGTAAACTACAAGAAGAAATAATAGTTCTAAGCACTTTTAAGTCTTATTTCTTTGGATTAAGTCTTGTCAAGGCATTTTAGGAGGAAAAAGTAGAATATTAACAGTTTTAGTTGTTTAGCCTCCACAAAATATCACAATAAATATCGTACTGTGAGATGTATATTGTGAAAATATCGTAGTGAGAGATTTTGATATTGTTACGTTCCTAATCTTGAGCCTCCCCACCATATTGTGAGCTTTCCCACGGTAGCGCAATAAATATCGTACCGTGAGGTTCATACCGTAAAGATATTGTATCATGAGACTTGGATATCGTTACATCCCTAGAAACTACATATCCCATGATGATGATATGTTTTTTACTTGAATTCTTCTGGGATTATGATGGAAATTATTCACACCAAAATCTTGTCAAGGTATTTTAAAACCAAAAAGTGTCCTATCTAAAATTATATCAGGCTCTTCAAAATATTGCAATAGATATCATAGAGATGCATATCGTGATAATATCGTATCAAGAGATTTAGTTTGGTCGTTACATCCCTACTCCACTGTGTTTTTAAACTCCAAACACCTTCACTAGAATCATTTGAATAGTTTAATTTGAGGAATTGCTAATCTCTACAGAATTCAAGGTAAAAGGAAGCTGTTAACCCACAAACTAAAGTGTCATTACATCACAAGTTGGAACAGAGCATTTTGAGATTTGGATTCAAAACAAAACACAACTCCAGGTATGTTTTTTTAGGAGGCAACAACATTATAAAATGCTTTAAAGATCACAAGAGTAAATTTTGCTGAATATGGGACCTTTAAGCATTACATTTTGTGGGCACTTGTGAAGATGGTAATACTGTGCATTTTTTTAAATATTACAAAACTGTGAGGTGAACACGATATTTAAACAGCTTTACACGTACAAAGAATTGCCCCACCACTCAGTCTCTGCTCTATCCGCTCCATTCACCCTCCCTAACATTTTTTCACATGCTGCGTTGTCCATTGTTCTCTCCCTCCCCATTTTCAGTGTGGGAGTGTTGGACTCCTCCACATTTTCTCCGGTCTAGTACTTATTACTCTGAACACAGGTTTGCTCAGATAAGGCACTTGTCCTCCAGCAAACACAAACTGACAGAGTGACTTCACATGGTAACCAGGCCTGTATGAAGTCTTAACACTGTCCTTCATATTGTGAAAAACAAAGAGCAATCCTGTAAAGTGTCGATTAAAGTTTTTAGTATTTCCAACATAAAACATTTCTCCTAATACCGCTTTTATGAATCCTTAGTAGAGCCCATATTACTCGATTATTTGGTCATGTTATGAAGTTCATCAAACATAGACCATGATCCTTTGCTCCATTTTAGTGTAGACTACATGAAAAAATAACAGTTCTAAGCACTTTTAAGTCTTAATTCTTTGGAATTAAATTGTGTCAAGACATTTTAAGAGGAAAAAGTAGCATATTAACAGTTTTGTTATCCTCCACAAAATATCGCAATAAATATCCTACCATGATATGGTGGAGAGGCTCAGGATTAAGGATGTAACAATATCCAAATCTCTCAATGCAATATTTTCACGACATACATCTCAAGGTACGATATTTATTTCGATATTTTATGGAGTGTAACAAAACTGTGAATATGATACTTTGTCCTTTTAAAATGCCTTGACAAGACTTAATCCAAAGAACTAAGACTTAAAAGTGCTTGTACAGTCTGTTAGTGTTAGTCTTCACTGAAATGGAGCAAAGGATCATGGTCTGTGTTGTTCTCTCTGTCTTTTTTTTAGCTATTGCTGCACCATAACTCTTCATTTAAGCAAAGAGATTTGTAATTCGATATATTGTGACAGTTCATGATATTATTGTGAGAACTTTGATTATATGATATCACAATATTTTGGTTATTGTTGCATCCCTAGTTATTCAGAGACGTGTGAATGAAACAAAACACAATGCCATGTTTTTGAGGAGGTAACAACATCATAACATGACTTGAAGTTCACAAGAGTTAATTTTGCATCATAGAGGACCTTTAACTAAAAGAACCATACCGTTACTAAAAAGGTGGACTTCCTTGTACAGTGCATGCCCCATGAACGCCTTTAGTTCTAATTACTTTCTCTGACTGTAATAACAATCATCACATCGCGGTAGTAATTTATGCACTCGTTAGCACTATGGTACTTTAATGAGAAAAGGAACTCATCAAATATGCATTAGTTGTATGGGGCCTCTTTATTTACCTCCATATAGAGCTATGTTAATTTACTAATGTGTTTGAGAAAAGTAATAATCTTTGATGCTAACGACCCCCTTCATAATAAGAAGTTGGGTTAACAGCAGCAGCACAGTTGCTTATTAAATTCATTTCATAAATCAGCTTAATTAAATGCCAAAGTGGAGTTTGCTGGAAATAGGGAATGAATGAAAAGGGAACTGCATCAATGAGGTCAAAAATATTATTTCACTTTTTCTTTTCTTTTTTTTTAAATAATGCTAATCTCATCTAATAATAGCAAAACCACACACAATTCCAAAAGTAGTAGCCTATTTTATTCAAAGAAGACTCATTGTAATTTGCATCAATATCCATTTTGACTGTTCTGTTTTGTCTCTATGTGTGAGTTGGTAAGTTTGAATTGATGTGGGACCCAGTATAATCACCAAATAATAATAATAATAATAATAATAATAATAATAATAATAATAATAATAATAATAATAATAATAATAATAATAACAAATAATACATAATAATAAAACCCATATGACACAATTTTCTGATCAATGTCAGTGTGTTGTTTCTTATTTAATACACAAACTCTGCATATTTAAAGTGAATGCTTCTCTCAAACTGAAAAAACTCAACGTTATGGTGTTAAATGGTAAGACATACCACAATAACACAATAATATCGTGGACCATCACAATATATCGAATTACAAGTCTCTTTGCTTAAATGAAGAGTTATGGTGCAGCGATAGTTAAAAAAAGACAGAGAAAACTACATAGACCATGATCCTTTACTCTATTTTAGTGCAGACTACAAGAAGAAATAACAGTTCTGAGCACTTTTAAGTCTTAGTTCTTTGGATTAAGTCTTGTCAAGGCATTTTAAGAGGAAAAAGTAGCGTATTAACTCCACAAAATATCACAATAAATATCATACCGTGAGATGTATATCGTGAAAATATCGTACTGAGAGATTTGGATATTGTTACATCCCTAATCATGAGCCTCCCCACCATATCGTGAGCTTTCCCACGATATCGCAATAAATATCGTACCGTGAGGTTCATACCGTGACAATATCGTGTCATGAGACTTGGATATCTTTACACCCCTAATAATACAGGAAATGCTTTGTTTTTGTGGAATTGCCAATCTCTACTGAGACTAAAGATAAAAGGTAGTTGTTAACTTGAAGACTACCACTACATGACAAAAAGGTGGAACAGAGCATTTCAAGCTTTGGAAATGCAGACAAAGTGACAAAACACAACTCAAGGTATGTTTTTGATGAGGTACCAACATTATAACATGGGTTAAAGCTCACAAGAGTCAGTTTGCGTAAAATAAGACAGATTTTTTTTGTTTTGTTTTTTACTACAACCTTAAGAGTGTTTCTGACTCTTGAAACTTCTGAACTCATCACTGAATCCTTATCCAGATTAAAAGTTTGCTGCCAGGGGAATGTCATTAACCTGTCATTATATCTCAGGTGAGGGAGGTGAGTAAAACCATCCTGAGGAGCACCATTAAACCCAGAGAGGACGAATATGCTCAGCTTCTGGTGGAGTGGGGTCAGTACATCGACCATGACATCAGCTTCACCCCCCAAAGCACCAGCCCCACCTGCCTCAGCACCTGCCAAAATGCGCACCCCTGTTTTCCTATAAAGGTATGTCATAATTAAACACATGCAAGCGGCAAAACGGCTGATTATTGATAACTTTGTAGCTAACCAAAAACACTACTCTGTCTGAAGCTCTGTTTCGCAAGTTAGACTTAATCTGACGTTTATTTTTACACAACCTGACCAGAAAGAGCTGACTTGGTTGGAACTACAACAGGTGAGATGATCTGTGATCTTAAGAAAGTCTCACACATAAAATTACAATCAAAATTCTAAACTGGGATGCACCTCGGTTGGGATGATCGGTATAAATAAAATTGTGAAAACAGAGTGTAACATTGTGTATTCTCGTGTCAGTCATGATCTGACGGATTTCTATCGCTACATTTTTTGCTTTATGGGCATTCGCAAGCATGCATTTCTGTATTTTGGTAAAACAAATGAGAATTTATGCTCCTCTTTACTGTTGGCAGAGATTAGATTAGTCAAAAATTGTGATAGTCCTCTTTTAGTCCTGGGTTAGATCTGATGTAGTCCTGTTTTAGTCTTAGTTTAGTCCTGGTTTAGTCCTGATGCAGTCCTGGTTTAATCTTAGTTTAGTCTTGGTTTAGACCTGGTTTGATCAAATTGGTCAAAAATAGAGACATCTGGGACATTTCTTGTATAAAACTGGGACAAATCACTGGTTTTGTTTAAATCTGCTGGGACATGGGACACAGGGCTCAAAACTGGGACTGTCCCCGGGGATGTCTGGTCTCCCTACGTTAGCCGGCAGTTTTTTCAGTTAATCTCTCACCTTTTTGTACCTTTCAGTACCACACTTGTACTGATCACAGATTCCTGAAAATGTGTTTTTTAAATCCATTTAGTATTTTTTTCTTGAGTTTCCAGATGATCTTAAAACTTCAGACACATTTACAATAAAGATACATGTAGAACACCCCCAGTATGATGTCACTGCAAAGTATCAGTAGCTGTGGTCAGGATTTTATTATCATATTAATTAAAATAAAGACTTGATATGTTCATACTGTTGTTTGCAATATATTTTAACAGATGTGTTCAATTTTCCATATTCATATTTCACAACAGTTCCATTAAATGTGTAAAAGTGTTTCCCTCAAATTTATACTGAGATTACTTGGCACGACTCATCCGTATTTGAATCATTTTATAAAAGTATGGAGATAAAATGTCACTTATTGTCTTTTCTTTTCACTGATTTCAGATTAGATACTAATTTTTATGACAATAAGCATAAAGTCAATCATTTGTGTCATCATTTTTTGTTCAGATTGTTTTTAGACTAGGGACTAGGGCCACCATAGTCAACTCTATTATTGGGAATCTTTTTTTAGTTTTTATTTTTGCACGTTGACCTGTGAGTTTATTAAGTCAGATGATATTTTATTGATACCGTTCACAGACAGGTGATGGCTGCATGCCCTTCCATCGCTCATCCCCGGCCTGCTGCTCTGGTCCTGACCTCAGACACACTCTCCAGCGTCAGCAGATGAACTCCATCACCTCCTTCATCGATGCCTCTGTAGTGTACGGCCACAACGCGGAGCTGCAGGCCTCTCTGCGGGGACCCGATGGAAAAGTGTCTGTCCACTGTGAGTTCAGTGACCCCAGAGGACGCCCCTACCTGCCCCCCGTGCCCTCCTTGCCGTCGGGCTGTCTGCAGAGTGACCAGCAGGGAGGGGGGTCCAGGGTGGAGTGCTTTAACGCAGGGGACAGTCGGGTGAATGAAGCCCTGCCCCTCACCGTTCTGCACACTCTATGGCTCAGAGAACACAACCGCGTCGCACAGGAGCTGAGGGCCCTTAACGCTCACTGGAGCTCAGAGACTGTGTACCAGGAGACGCGCAGGATCATCGGAGCAATGCACCAGGTGAGCAGGTCATACAAGCCCTGCACACACCAGTGGAGCACGACTGTAGTCAACAAGACAGGGAGAAGAGGAAAAAAGTTAGTTAGATGGTTGGTTAGTTAGATATCTTCGTAGCAAAAGCATATACAAAAACAAATCAGTCAGTGGTGGAAGAAGTTTTCAATTTTGTTACTTAAGTAAAAGTACTGATATCAGGGCAAAAAAATACTCAAGTAAAAATATCATTTGAGAAAATCTACAAGCAGGGGTGTCAAACTCAAACTGACAGAGGGCCGAAATTTAAAACTGGGACTCGTCGTGGGCCAAACTAAATATTTATTGAAAAATTTCAACAACATCTGCATGTTCTTCTTTCGAAATATGTAATATTAAACCTTTTCTTATTAAAATAAATGTTTAATAATAGTTTTGGTAAACACTGAATCCAGAAGGAGCTTAATATAAAATAATAACAACATTTTAAATAAATAATGTCTGTATAGTCTATCTGTAGCCAGCGGGCAGCTCTAATACATATTTGATATGATCTCGTGGGCCAAATAGAAGTATATCGCAGGCCAAATTTGGACCCCGGGCCTGACTTTGACATGTCTGGTCTAATGTATCTAATCTAAATGTAGTGTTCAGTAGGTCTCAAACTATAAAAATACTTTTCAATCCTGGTAAATGTAGTGGAATAGAAAGTATAAATACCTGCTCTCAAATGCAGTGAAGTAAAAGTTAAAGTATTCACTTTAAAATCTACATAAGTAAAGTTCAGATACATAACATTTATACTTCAGTACCGTACCTTGTTACTACCTTGTTACATTCTATCACTGAAATGAGTTGCAGTCACTGGGCCATTACTGTACACCACTCGCCCTGTCATTAGTGAACAACAAACCTAATCACACTCTCTCTCATCCTACTTTGAACACTATGAGCTTCAGCCTCTTAAAGTATCAGAAATGTATAACGCTATTACTACAACTACTTTTACTACTTACATGTACAAATGTCAAATAACAATTACTCTTTGACACTAACTATCTTGTATATTTATAGTTTTGAAAAGCAACCATCAATTAAGTAATTATATAGCCATTGTGTAGTACAAAAGAACAGTAGCTCTACATAATCACCAACAGTACAATACAGTATATTCACTGTGCCATACTTTATCGTCATTCACTTGCCACTGAGGTCAAGAAACACTTTAGAGATATTAGAAGTACTTTTTTTTTTCTTTAAAAAAATAGGTTTGTGTACATTATGAATACACATGCAAAATTTAATATCAACTAAACAAATACTTGAACAACCAACTGAGACTATTTGAAATCCTTTCAAACTTCCACTGAAAGATGAGTCATCACATTTTAAACCAGTTGTACCACTCAAGTTGAGAAATCAAAATGGGTTAATGGAGAAATTCATTTCTAGTTTACGATTTTCTTTGTGTACTTTGTAAATTGGACAGGGCATGCCACTTGATTAAGATTATCAATGGCGACAGAGGACAAGCACAAGTACACAGAACAAAAAGTACATGAAATGAGTAGTAATCAGTAAAAGTGGACAAAAGATGCATGCAGTGGTGTGTACTACAGTAAAAATGTTGTACTGTTTGTTGTAGCTGCCACGTAATGGAAATATTGGTCACTTTGATGCAGGCTTCGAGACTCTCCTTCTCGCCTGAAGTGAAGGGAGTTGCCCAGTATCAGGTCCCTCAAATCAATCACGGTAGAACTGATTTATTTGGGGCGATGGTGTGTTTTGATGTAACAGGGCAACACCAATCAAAACTCAGTGAAGGCAGTGCTGGGAGTCAGTGTTAAAGAACAGATCATTGGCTCCGTGCCAACCGTAACCAGAGCATTTTCTTCTTCTGACTCATGGCTTTGATTTTTTTTGCTATGTAGCACCTTCGTGATTTGCTTACACCTTGCACAATAGCCTGAACCTTCAAAGTGACTAAAAACAAGTTGGCGCTCTGTTGCCATAGTAACAAGTAGTGGCGTATAAAGCTGCTTAACTAAGATGACTTTTTTAACTTTGCTCCAAGAACATCCAAATTCACCCCCTCATCTTTGTTTAATCAGGCTTATTTCTTTCTCGAGATGACTTCAGTCTTAAACTGGAGATGGAAATCAGCTGGAAAGTCCCCCTGGCAAAAATGTCCCTAAAATGGAAAGTCCCCCTGAATTGTAATATTTATGAAAGTAAGTTAGTTAATCTATGTAGTACATATAAATAAAATGAAAAAAATAAATAAATAAAAAATCTATTATATATGTTGTACTAATTACACACGCAAGTTGCGATATATGTCAGCACATTTGTTCATACATATGAACAAAACATGCAAAAATGATATGATCTCAAACACATACTCTGTAGTTTTCTAAGTTTCTTGTGTTGTGCTACTTACAAATTATGTTCATGGCAGCAGGTAAGGAAATAATTCATATTTCTTCCCAAATAACCAGTTACAGATGCTCTAGGACACGGGGAACTAGAAAAATATTTTAAATATGATTTCATAGTAAAATTCTGTAAGCAAATGAGGATTATATTGATATTAATACTTCAGTAAGATTGGTAAAATAACATAAACAAGGCCCGACATTTGGTCTCATTACATTCACATTTCATTTTATTATTACGAATGCTGATTTTCTAACGCAACGTGGCTGACTAAAGGCCAACGAGAAGGTCCCCCCTCTCCCAGGCACAGCAGTTACCTGGTGAGAAGAGGGCGCCCAGAGGGAGGAGGGGGACGTTCAAGCAGAGAGAATGCGATGCTCGAGCTGGGACTTTCAATCCAGGGGCACGTTTGAGCTGGTATTCCTGGAGATGGAACTGGTTTTAGCAGGATTTCAGGGTAAGTCTAGATTTGTTAAGTGAGTTAAGCTTAGCCCCTAACTGTTTACCATAACTGTTTGCCAAAGTTATCATCTATTTAATCACAGAGTATGTAACTTTTTAGCCTTGTTTTTATTCCACTTAAAAGCAAGCCATCCCTCTATTTGTCTATAATTTCCACAGACTTGTGACATGCCACCTACAGAAAGTGACACACTCTAGTGTGTTTATTTAACTAGGGCAACAGAACTGTACTGTAAGTGGAATTTCTCTTTCAAGACTTGAACTATATAGTGTATAAGGAGATTTAGTTTTGGCAATCACATCAAATGGGGCTATCAAAGTCAGTTTAGGACGACTTATCTTCCTTTATATCTAAAAAAGGTATTTGTGATTTATTTAAAGTTATATAAATGTGTTTTCTACAGCGTAGTGGAAAAATTAAGTATTTAATCTGTGAGATTTAGGGAGTTGACATTTGACTGCTTCAGAGGATTAAGCATACCTCCTAATTTCAGTTGACTCAGAGCTTTAGAATATTAAAAAGAGATAGGGCAAAGGTGAGATACAAATGCTTTAAATAATTTGGGAGAATAAAGACATGGAAGGTAGAGGATTTAAAAACTGCTGCCATGACCATGACTAACTTCACCGAAAATCCCTGAAAATCCCTCAGATTAGTCGCGCTGTAGCATACAAATTATTGCTTCAGAGAGTGCATGTAAGGGCTCGTCATTGTCTTTTTAAACATTTTATTTATTACAATTTGAGTTGCCTAAATATGTTTATAAGATTAAAATCATTATCTGATAGATCAGTGCTTTATGCATGGATAGGGAGAGTGAAAGAGAAACAAAACCACATTCTCAAATAGCTGGGTTTCAGATGACATTCTATTGACTAATAATATTTATTATATGTGGGAGCGGCTAAAATTAATAATGTTTAAATGTCATAAACACAAATTATTAGTTTCAACAATTGTGAATTTACCTTTTGGAAATGATATACAACTATATAATACAATACAACAATTTTGGTCTGAGAGTATTTATCACTGAGACATTTTCACAGACTAGAATCTGAAAACCTCCAGTACTATAGGTCAGAGGTTGGGGTTGCAAGTCGTGACTTGGACTCAAGTCAGACTTGAGATTTGACCTGATAAAAATGGACTAAGACTTGGGACTTGATTTGGACTTGAAAGCCATTGACTTGGGACTTAACTTGGACTTGAGGTCTGTGACTTGATAAGACTTGATACTTCTCCTAAAATTGTGTATATGTTTTTAGAAAATACTTTTCTCTTTACAGTTGATAAATGAAGTGTTGAATTTTACAGGAAAAAACTGGAACATGCTCCCCCCCCTGAAATGGAACATGATCCTTCCATTTCAGTGCAGACTACATGACAAAATAACTTATTTTAAATCTGAATTCTTTTTGTTCTGACCATAATGATTCACACTAAGATCTTCAAAACAATTAAAAAGGAAAAATTTACATTTCTACAACTCTGATATAAATACTCATATATAAATATACTATGATTTTTTAAGTACAATTTAGTTTAAAATTCATATAAACAGCAAAAACCTAAGCTCTATTTGGTACTTTGGTTTAAAGACTTGAAATGAATTGAAGCTCAAAGTAGATGACTTGGACTTGACTTGGACTTATGGGCCAGTGACTCAAGGCCCGACTTGGACTTGCTTGGACCCACCTCTGCTATAGGTGTATATAAAACAAAAAAAAGAACACCACGTATGTAAAGGAGAGTTCAACGTTGTATATTACACAAAATTGACTCTTTTGAGCTTTAAGCCATTTTATAACTTTGTTATCGCATCAAAAACTTACCCGGAGTTGTGTTTTGTTTGTGTTTGAGTAATCCTTTATTATGTCTGCATCTCCAAAGCTGAAAATGCTCTGTAGTTTCCAAGTTAACAGCTACCTTTTACCTTTTGTTCAGAAGGAATAGAGTAGAGAGTTTGCAATTCCAGGGCAGAAATCATCCAAATTATTAAAGTGAAGGTGCATGGAGTTTAAAGACACAGTGGAGCACAAGGTGGAACCATGTGTTTTCTGTTTGAGAAAAGAACCCAGTCTAAATATGCAGAGTTTGTGTGTTAAACATGTAAACAAAACAAAGCACAACTAAGTATGTTTTGATGAGAAAACATTATCATAACATAGATCAGAATAAAGAGCAATATGGGCCCTTTAAACAAGTTAAGAAACAGGGCAGTTCTTTCTAAAGCTGTGGTCAAACTGTACTAGAATGTCACAGCTCCTGCCCAGCTCAGAGTCTTGGACATTGAAAGTGCATTTTTTGAGTTTGGGGACAGTTGATCCCTAAATCCAATACTGTAATGTACCTGCTGCAGTCTTGCTTGTCACAATAAAGAAGACGGAGCACGGACATTGCTGTCAGGCCGGGCTGGAGGCGACCTGTTAGAGAGAAGAAAAACTTATCAGAACAATTGCATCTGAGAGCTTCAAGTTGATTTATCTTTTTGTGTTGACAGAAACTACGTGTAATCAATACCAGGCATTGATTCACATTTTTTGCTTTTAGACTTGCGCTGCTGCAGAGCCCTTTGCTTCATCTCATATTCCTCTTTATCAGACTGCAGCTGGTTCAGATGGAGCTTGTGAAATGTCCCGCAGAGCCCTGACAAACGTCACGCCGATTTCTGCTACTTAGACAAGGCAATTACAGAAAAGAGAGGCACGAGTAGCCACTTCATTCTCTGTTAGCGCTGCAGGTGGAGTCTGCACGGTGCGCTCCTCTGTGCCTTCTCCCGACTGTGAGTGCTGCCAAGTCAGAGCCCGGGCGTCACTGTGGATGTTTGTGAACAATGTAGAGTTTATGCACATAACTGCTGGAGTTGAAATGACATCACCACATTCTACTGGCCAATAATAGTTATAGAATTGATGTTGTTAAAATCCAAAACTCCAGGTCTGAATCTCATATACAAGATCACTTTAGAAGGCAAGGAGTGCTACTTAGATGTATAAAGACTGTGCAAAACTGTCCTTTTGGTGGTTTTTGGTGCAGGAGCATAGTTTAGATCAATTTGAAACAGGCTGATGGAGAGGTTTTTGTAAGGCAGTGTGCAGTTTTACATCTGTGTTACTGTGGGTCCTCAGTGACAACGCTAACTTGTGCATTAGTAAACCAGGGTCAAGACTGCCTGTGTGTGTGTGTGTGTGTGTGTGTATTGTGATTGTAGGCAAAAAATGATCTCTGTATTTGTCATCAATCAAATAGTGCAGGTAATAATGATAATAACCATAAATTGTGGACTATAAGCCACTACTTTTTTCTCACACTTTGAACCCTGTGGCTAATAAAATAATGTGGCTAATATATGGACAGATTCTTTGTTTGGCACATTGTTTATTCATATAAATGGTCTATGGTTTGACAACACAGCGGATACACACAGCCTGAGTGCAGAAAACGCCGCTGTATGTGCGATTACATATGGATCTAGGGTTCACATGAAGTTGCTACACTAGCTACACTAGCTAGCGATATAGTCAGTGCACTGAAATAGTTTATCACCATGTGATAAAATAAGTTATAATGCTAAATGAACATTAGTGAGGGTGATATGTCTTACCTGTATGTGTCGAGAAGAAGCGTCTCAAACTTCAGTTGGCGCATCCACTCATACCTGATTGACAGAACTAACCCCCGCCCCTGAGAGAGTCTGAAATCTGCTGAAATCCTCAAAGACTCTGACATGATACAGACAGGACAGAGGCTCTTTCTGCAGGAGACATGTGCAGTAGAACATGGGGGGAGACGGGGTGATGCACCGAGGAAGGTTTGAATGAAGATTTGATTGTGTTTTGATCAGTTATTTTGTGCTTCATACACACACCCTTCTCATGGAAAACACACGAAGAAATGCAGATGATGCAGCTTTTAAGTTAAAGCCAAAGGCTGTTGAAGGAAACAGAGCTGCTGCACGTGAGCTCGGCATCAATGAGTCGATGGTGAGATTTTGGGGAAGGCAGCGTGATGAACTGACTCAATGCAAAAAGATGATAAAAACTTTTAGAGGCGATAAAAGCAGATGGCCCGGACTTGAAAACATTCTTGAATACGTGGACACTTGCGGTTTGTATTCAGGTGCTGCCTATAAATGTCCAATTTTAACATTTAGTTAACATTTAGTTGATGTGGCTTAGGTTCAGGTGTGCTCAATAGTTTGGAATTTAGTGTAGTACTTTATTTGTACACTCGAAGCTTTAAAGAATCTTGTCTAGAATGTAAGACACGACTTTCATACTAGGCAGTGTGGGTGAAGTGCCTTGTCTAAGGACACAACGACCACTGGTGCTCTCATGTGGCACCTGGTGTTATTATTATGATGATGCATATTTCAGGTGCATAGTTTAGAGAGGCAGTCATTCTGAGAATGCCCTGTTGTTCTTTCAGATCTTGTTCAGTGTATTGTTTGGGATTACCTGGCCATGACACTGTCCCAGCTGCTGTCAGTCACACCTCAGCCTCATCGCATCAGCAGACAGTAGTGTACACAAGGCCACTGTCAGGAACTACGCTATGATCTCAACTAAAACTGGGTGCAGTCATTGGAGTAATACATACATTCTTTAATGTGCATTCAAATAAATCATTCATTTTTACCTCCGCCAAGGAGGTTATGTTTTTGCCGGCGTTTGTCTGTTTGTTTGTTTGTTTGTTTGTTTGTTTGTTTGTTTGCCTGTTAGCAACATAACTCAAAAAGTTATGGACCGATTTTGATGAAATTTTCAGGATTTGTTGGAAATGTGAAAAGAAAGAACTGATTTCATTTTGGGGGTGATCCGGAAGAAATCCTGGATTCTGGATCACTTTGAAATTTTAGTTAACATTGTGGTAAATGGGGCCAAAAATTTTGTTTCTCAATATTTCGGTTAATTATTGACCAAACCCCATGAAATTTGACTCAGGGATGGACAGTGGGATCCTCTTTCATATTCCAAAGGCTGATCTGGATCTGATCCAGAAGACTGATTTTATCGCAATTTATATAAAAAACGGGGGTAGTCCTTGGCGGAGGTCTGCGCTCTCTGAGTGCTTTTCTAGTTCATCCTAAAACTCTCACACCGCTCATGGTCATTCTGACTAAGATCGTAGTTCATAAAGAAACTCATTGTTCACCTCCTCTTTCAACTTTTCCTCAGCGATTTGGAAACTTATGCAATATTGCTTTTTTTTTAAGAGGCTTGTTAAATTTTTACAGACACTATCAAATAATTAAACAAATCTATCTGCCTTAGTGTTTATGTCATATTTGCACCACACAAATCACTGCCATTTGCATTGCACTTGAAAATGAAAGCCAAAGCTGGAGTGTGTTCGGTAATGGAGGCCAGAGGGCACGAGCAGGTGGATCCATTCATACATTATATACCACCTAGTGTCTGTGGGCTGCCACTTAAACATTCAGAGATGTGCTGCTTCAAGTGCCTGGCAAAAACAAATGATAAGGTCACGAGTCATTTTCAAATGCAGTGAAAGCCTGATATTTTCTAGGACATCAAAAACAACAAAAACGAAAATAGTGCACTGGTTTCATTTTGACGTGCATTTCAATTTGAGTGCTGAACGCTGCAGCTGTTTTTGTCATGATATGGGGAAAGTCATTACCTTGGTTTGAGAATGGTTAAAGTAAGAGAAGTTTTCTGAGATAATTATTCTTCAAAACATGAATTTTGCTTATTTTTTTCTCGCTACAATGAGCCCAAATTACAATATGTTCGGACTGACTGTATGTTATGTTATGTATGTTGTTTCCTTATTACAAACATACCTGAAGTTGTTTCATTCACACATTTCACACGCAAACCCTGCAAATATAGGCTGAGATCTTTTTCTCTCAAATAGAAAACACTCTGTTCCACCTTATGATGTCATACGGTCATACAGGAAATGCTCCACTGCATTTTTTAAACTCCATACACTTTCACTAGTATCATTTGGGTAATTTCAGCCCTGCAATTGACAATCTCTTCTGAAATAATGGTTAAAACTGTAGCTATTAACTTAAAAAATATTGCTTTGTGACGTTACAAGATGGAACTGAGCATTTTGATCTTTGACTAATAATAATGTGTTACTGTGAATGAAACAAAACATAACTCCGGGTACATTTTTGATGAGGTAACAACATTCTAACATGGCTAAAATCTCACAAGAGTAACCTTTAATTGCTCATATAAAGATAGAGTTAGTTTCAGGACTTAGAAAGATTTGAACCCCGATTTACTCTCCATTCAATTAAATAAGACAGTGAGATAAGAGCTTGGTTGGAGCCTCATACATAAATCTTTCCATGCGTAGATATATATGACTTGTTTCTAATTATTGCTGGTTATTTATATATTTGTGTCCCACTTATATAAGAAAATATGTTGATAGGTTTGAGCATGGAGAAATATGGTCCAACTGTGCTTTAGACTCTGGGGAATGTTAATTAAAAGCATGCGTCTGTACTCATCAGAACACTTTTTTTATTCCCCGTAGATCATAACCATGAGGGACTACATTCCTAAGATTATCGGTCCGGTGGCGTATAAATACCATGTTGGACCATACAAAGGATATGATCCTTCAGTTAACCCTTCCGTCTCCAACGTATTCGCCACAGCTGCGTTCCGCTTCGGCCACGCCACCATCTCTCCGACTTTGCGCAGACTCAACCAGAGCTTCCAGGAACATGAAATCTTTCCCAATCTGAGGCTGCACCAAGCTTTCTTCAGCCCCTGGAGGATCGTAAAAGAGGGTCAGTGTGTAAAACAGTAAAACTTCTCATGTCATTCTAAAGATCATTCCATTTATGATCCTATATGACATATAATGAACTCTTGTGGGCTTTTATTCATGTAATAATGTTGTTACTTCATCAAAACATACCCAGAGTTGTGAGAAGCCTAAATATGCAGGGTTTGTGAGTTAAACATGTGTGAATGAAAAATAAAAAATAAAAAGCAAAAAACACAACTCCAGGTCTGTTTGTGAGAGGAAACAACATTAAAACATAAATCAGAAAACAGTGTAATATGAGCCTTTTATCGACTTTTATCACCACACATACCGATAATATAATTGTACAGACTTCCAACATGTTAATCTGATCCTTTATTTAATATTCAGTAGGATAACTTATGCATGATCAAACATCTGAAGATTCAAAGAAGTAGTCAGGAATCTATGGGGAAATCTGCATAGACATATTATGGGCACATTAGTGAGTCGAATTAGCGGTCAGTAGTTTAAATGTATTTAGATCTGACAGGAATTCTAGTTGTTTTAGTTAAGAGTTTTGTTCAAGTTACATTTTTTTCAGAATTGGAAACTGACATTATTTAAAGAGCCCATATTATGCTTTTTTCTCATCTATGTTATAATGTTTTTTTCATCAAAAACAGACCTGGACTTGTGTTTTGTTTCATTCACACATGTTCAACACACTTTCTTCTTTTCTTAAACAGGAAAACGCTCTGTTCCAACTTGTAATGTCAGGTGGAAATACAAGAAGTGCTCCACCTTTACTACAAACATCTGGATGATTTCAGTCCTGGAGCTGCTAATATCTACTGAACTAAATGTATAATCTAACTGTTAAAGGGACAGTCTGGAATTTTTGACATAGGGCCTCATTTCCTAGTGAGCCAGAGTGTTGGAGACATGTGGAGACACTTTTTTAAATATTCCATCCAGTCCTTGTATTTGCAGAAGTCGCTGGTGCTAGGCTAGTGCATGTCAATGGCCATAGTTATCCTGACACTAAAACACTCAAAGCAAATCTATTATTACACCAGACTGTCCATGTAAATGTCTGTGTTGATAAAATAATGTTTGAAATAAAACTAACCTTGCATCGCATGAATTGTTGCACGTCCAGGGACTATTTTCTCATATATCAGTCCACCGCTGCCAAGCTTTCTATCAGGAAGTACAACTAGCTGCTGCTGCTCAGACATAAATCCTTCAAATGTAAGGTTGGTTTAACTTCTAGCAACACAGACAATTACATGAACAGTCTGGTGTAATAATAGATTTGCTTCGGGTGTTTTGTGGAGTGGGTAAGACTGTTTTTAGTGGCAGGATAACTATGGCCATTGACATGCACTAGCCTAGCACCAGCGACATCTGCAAATACAAGGACTGGATGGAATATTTTAAAAAGTGTCTGCACACATCTCCAACACTCTGGCTCACTAGGAAATTAGGTCGTACATCCAAAATTCCAAACTGTTCCTTTAACTTGAAAACTACCACTACATGACATTACCAGGTGGAACAGAGCATTTTGAGCTTTGGAGATGTAGACAAACTAAAAATAAAGGACTACTCAAACATGTGTGAATGAAACAAAACACAACTCTGGTTAAGCTTTTGGTGAAGTAACAACATAACACAGCTTAAAGCGCACAAGAGTCAATTCTGTGTAATATAGGACCTTTAAAATTGTCAATATTTGAAAGTGATTTCTGTGAATCATATACACACATTTTAAACTCAACCAGCCTGCTGCATAAACCATTCTAACTGTGAGGCACTCAAATTCTTCAGTAGAATGAGTGTGTACAGAATGAAAGAGACTGGTTTATTTTGGTCTGTTCTATGGTTTTGTTTAGGGGGGATCGAGCCCGTCCTGAGAGGTCTAATTGGGACAGCAGCAGCATCTGTTCATGCGGACATGCTGCTGACAGAGGAGCTCACAGACAGACTGCTCGTCCTCAATATACCCCAACAAATGGACCTGGCCGCTCTCAACCTGCAGAGAGGACGAGACCACGGCCTGCCAGGTACAAGGGCTCAGGTCACAGGTTAAGGGTGCATTGTGCAGGTTTTCTGGTGGAGGGTCCGTCACCTGCTTGTCTCCATGGATATGTTATTGCTTTGTCTAGAATGTTCCATAGTAGAGATTAAACCCATCGATCTCATGGCAGACAACTATAGGCTACATTACAGCAGAGTCCTGCACCGGGTCAGGTAGTAATTACACACAGGTGGGTCAGAACTAAATCAGGACTACACCAGGGCTAAACTAGGACTAAACAGGAACAGGACTAAAACAGGACTGAACAGGACTAAAACAGGACTGAACAGGACTAAAACAGGACTAAACCAGAACTGAACCAGGACTCACTGTCAAGACGGGCTCGGAGGTGTGCCCGTGTAGACAGTTGGGTGACTGCAGGCAAAAGGACTGACGCAGCGCTCCGTGCCGCAGTTACCCGAGTGTGCATTGTGGACACCCTGCTCTGCGGGCTCGGGGTTGTCTCTCTCTTAAATCCAAGGTTAATCCAGGTTTAGACCTGGTCCAGTCCTAGGTTAGGTTAGTCCTGGTTTAGTCCTGGTTCAGTCTGTGGCGTGTGTGTTAATTTGTGTGTGATTTATCACGGGCAAGGACGGGCAACGAGTAGAATGTTAACGGGTCTGGGTGAATGCGGGCTCAACTTTAATATAATCACAGGTTAACAAGCGGGTGCAGTGCTGTACTGTACAGGTGAGGACAGGTGCGGGTCTCCAAAAATGGACTCGTACAAAACTCTGCATTATAGGTCACATCTGCAGAGAAGCAACCTTATTCACAGAGAGAATTATTGTTTATTATTATTATTATTTTGGAGCAATAGAAACACCCGTAATGAATAAATGTTAGATAGAGGTGTTTAATGTCATACCATTGAACATACCAGACAAGCAAGTTCTCTAGAAAAGTTGCACAAAGCACCTTTAAGTAACTCTCTTCAGTGGCAAGTGCAAAAGTAAAAGTACTGTGCTTAAGTCACATGTGGATACTTTTTACTTTCCATAACTACATTTGAGAGCAGTCATCTCTACTTTATTACTGCTGCATTCACCAAATGTTTGAACCGCACTCAAAAAGGACATTTTTTTTAATGTATGCTGAAATGCCTGGGGGATTTATTTTTATTTTTGGTGCCATCTAGCCTGAAGGTATTGAATTAAAGTCCCAGCATTAAGCAAACAAAAATATATGCATGAAAATGACCTGGAAAATTAGGAAAATGATTCAGTTGTTTCTGATGAATAAAAATCAGCACAATTCACCACAAAATCATTACATTAGATTCCTCGATAGTTAATCTGTGATAACTGAGTGTGATTTTTTTAATGTGATACTATTACTTGAGTGTTTACTTTTACTTAAGTACCACCACTTTCACTAAACTCACTTAAGCTGGACAAACTGCTCCCAATAGCTGGAGAACCTGATCTTTTGCCCTGCCCTTGACAAAATATTCTTTTGTTTTTTTTACTTGTATCTGTCAATCTGTCACTTAAAATCACAAAATGCTTCAAGAATTACTAATGTGAGACTTAAACTTGGTGACCTGACTTACAAAGTACACAGGTTGTAACAACATTCACACACTGAAGGACTAATTTAAGATCTCTGTATTTGTCGCCAGGATACAACAAGTGGCGAGCATTCTGCAAGCTGAAACCAGTGAAAACATTAAAGGACTTCTCAGAAATTGTGGGAGATGAAACCGTTGCCAAGAAGATTCTGGATGTGTACAAACATCCTGACAACATTGATGTGTGGCTTGGAGGACTTGTTGAAAAGTTTGTGCCAGGTGCAAGAACTGGTCCTCTCTTTTCATGTCTGATAGCAAAGCAGATGAGACTTCTTCGTGATGGCGATAGGTATCCCGTTATTTAAATATAAACATAATTACGCAAATGTATTTTGTCATGCTATACTTTTAAAGCTTCTGGTTCTTTTTAGGTTCTGGTGGGAGGCTGGTGGTCAATTTGTTCAGCAGCAGAAAACAGAGCTGCTTAAAACATCGCTGTCTCGGCTGATTTGCGACAACAGCGATATTACAGAAGTTTGTCCTGACTCCTTCACACTGTGCAAATATCCATCTGATTATATTCCTTGTGATAAAACAGCATCAATAAATCTGACAGTGTGGAGAGAGCAGAGCCTGTTTTAAATCCTACTATCTTACATTTACCACTCACACTTGATCAGCATTGTCCAGCCTGTCTGAGAACAGGATATGATGTTGTCCTGTGGAAATGTGTGCTGCTCTGTACTCTTGTTACCATGGTTTCAAATTAGGCCGGCTGCTGCAGTAGTTTGTGAAGGGAATCAGTGAAGTGATCTGCTCAAAGGCTGGGTTTGTTCTGGCTTCAACTGTCAGTACTAAAAGGTCTGACAGATTTCTGCTAGAAGTGCATTGACTACTATTGTTATGAATTTTCTCATTATTGTTAGTGAGGTAAGCCATATTAGCAACCAGGGGCATTATTATTTGCATAAACTGTGTTGACTGGACCTTTACTGCTATCTGGTGGTGCGTTTGAATTAAAATATGAAATCCCACCCACGTTTTGCTCAAGTCACTTTCTAAAATGCATTAATCTGTTTCCAAAAAAAACTACCATTCTATACTTATAATACATATTTTTTACATTAGCTAATGTAAAGAGTAATGTTGTGTATTGATGTAGAATGTATTTGGTAATGACATTGAGTTTTTTAGGTGTATTGTTATCACTCAAATTATTGCATATATGTACATTTACACAAGTTATTGTTTTGTTTTGTTTTTTAACCAATAACTGTATAAAATATTATACTGACATTTGTTTTGGAAACTCCTCATGTACAGCCAGAATACTTTCAATGAATTTTTAACAAATGGTACACCACCAATGTCACTATATTTTGTTGTTTTTTTCAAATGACCACTTTTCTTGTTGTTGATGTTATTATTCAAATGAAACAGAAAGCAGACACCAAAGTTCTTGTAGAGGTGCAAATCCAAGGAGGAGCAACTTACAAGTGAAAAAAATTCATAGCACCCTCACATGGCTGATGTTCAGAAACTTTTTTCAATTTTTAAATAATGTTTTGACAAAAAGATGGTTTCCCCCATCAACTCAAAATATGCACAGTAGGTCAAATCGTCCAGTTAAGGTAGTCCTGTCCAAGCCTAGCAACAACATCATAAAGATGGGTCCCCGAGCATTAGCGCTTTTCCATGTTCAAGGCTTACCCAATGGCAAGAACAAGGCCCAGGCAATAAACAGCTACGCCCTGCCAGTGATCAGATACCCAGCAGGAATCACGCACTGGCCAAAGGAGATACAAAAGCTCCTGACCATACATGGAGGGTTCCATCCTAAATCCAGCACCAGCACCCTGAAACTATATATATATCTGTGTGTATATATATATATATATATATATATATATATATATATATATATATATATATATATATATATATATATATATATATATATATATCGTGCCGTTTATATCTTGCCAGACCAGTGGTAATGAAGTCAAGACATAATGTCATCAGTGTTGTCATTGGCTGCAAGAATATTTCATCCTCCACTTTTCCTGTCTGACAGCACTGTTAACCAAACACTCAAGGTGTGTTCCATTAAACAACTGTATGAAAAACATGCTATTGGTGGAATGCTGTCAAGTAGTCAAAGTGTCAATGTCACTCATTTTGTTTCTTTAATATGGACAAACAAACATATTATTGTAATATACTGTATAGTATATATTTAATCTACAAACTAAATAGCAATACCTGGGAGCCCCTAACTGAAAAGGGATTGGACATTTCTGATACCCCAATAATATTTATTTAAATAGACAGCAGGTAGATGTATTTGTAGATACACACACTAAGCATCTCAACATGCTTTACTGTAAAAAAAAAAAAAAAAATTGCTAGCAATGGTAACATATAAAATATAAGCTAATAATAAAATAACAATTTAAAATATGCTTTATTTACTATACAAACTAAATGAAAATCAGAAAACCTTTGATATATATACATGTATGTGTGTGTGTGTGTGTGTGTGTCTGTATGCACACACATGTATATGTGATGTGTATTTTTGTATATGTATGTGTAATGTAATTGTACAGTATTGTTGCTGTCTTTATCATGATTGTATACTTGTATGCCCTATGTTTTGTTTTCTATTGTCTTTGCATGTTAGTAAAATAAAAATAAATAAATTAAAAACAACAACAACAAATGAAAATGATGAAGGATTTGATCCTAAGCCATACAGGTGCTCTTTTAATCACAAAGTCATAATGTATTTATAAAAATCAATGTGCTTTGCATATATTGTTCACTTGGT